TGAAAATTGAAAAATTGGAAAAACGAAAAATTAAAAAATTGAAAATCTGATTAATCGAGTAAATCGTAAACTTGTAAATTCGAAAAATCGGAAAACCAAAAGGAAAAATTGAAAAATTAAAACTGTGAACATTGAAAAATCGTAACATTCTAAAATTGTAGGATTGGAAAATCGACAAATGGAGAACAAAAAATTTGAAAATTGCAAAATCTAATTGTAAAAATTGAAAATTTAAAAATAGAAAGATTAAAAAATTGAAGTCTGAAGATTTAAATTTATCAAAAACCTCAAACTTCGAAAAATTAAAAATTTGAAAAATCGAAAAACCTAAAACAAAAACTCAAAACTTTTTGCTAGAAAACTCGAAAATTAAGGTAATAAAAATTTGAAACCACGAAACATTAAAACATTATTACATAATGGAAAAATCGTGAAATTGTAGAATTGAGAACTAAAATTTGCAAAATCAAAAAATGAAACATGAAATATCGAAATATTGTGGAATTTTGAAAAATCGAAACATTCTAAAATTTTAAAAATCAAAATGTGAATACATATTGAAAAATCATGAAGATGAAAATTCAAAAAAATCAAAACCAAAATTGACAAATTAAAAATCAACATTTTAAAATTGAAAAAGCGAGTAATCGTAAATTTGTAAATTCGGAAAATCGATAAACTAAAAGCAAATATTGAAAAATTAAAAGTGAAATTGAAAAAAAATTTCTGGAGAACTCGAAAAATTGGAATATTGTAAAATTGTAGAATTGAAAAATCGAATAATTGAAAATTCGAAAAATCAAAAGCAAAAATTGAAAAATAAAAAGTCGAAAAATTGTAGAATTGAAAACTCTAGAAACCGAGAACAAAAAATTGGAAAATTGCAAAATTTAATTATGATAGAATTGTAAAAATTGAAAATTTAAAAATCTAAAGATTGAAAAATAGAAAGATTAAAAAACTGAAAATTGTGAAAATTTAATATCAAAAACCTCAAAATTCGGAAAATCGAAATCCCAAAACAAAAACTCAAAATTTTTTTCTGGAAAACTCGTAAATTAAGGTAATAAAAGTTTAAGAACACCAAACATTAAAACATTATTACATAATGGAAAAATCGTGAAATTGTAGAATTGAGAACTAAAATCTGCAAAGCCAAAAAATGAAATATGGAATAATTTCTTGTAGAACTTTGAAAAATCGAAAAATTTTAAAATTTTAAAATTCAAAATGTGAATACATATTGAAAAATCATGAACATGAAAATTCAAAAAAATCAAAACCAAAATTGACAAATTAAAAATCAACATTTTAAAATTGAAAAAGCGAGTGATCGTAAAATTGTAAATTCGGAAAATCGAAAAACTAAAAGCAAATATTGAGAAATTAAAAGTGAAATTGAAAAAAAATTTCTGGAAAACTCGAAAAATTGGAATATCCAATCATTGAAAAATCGTAACATCATAAAATTGTAGAATTGAAAAATCGAAAAATTGGAAAATTGCAAAATCTAATTATGATAGAATTGTAAAAATTGAAAATTTAAAAATCGAAAGATTGAAAAATAGAAAGATTAAAAAACTGAGAAATTTAAGATTTAAATATCATAATCCTGAAAAATCGAAAAATTAAAAATTAGAAAGATCGGAAACAGAAAGCAGACTGGAAAATTTTTACTAGAAAACTCGAAAGTTGCGGCAAGAAAAATTTTAAAACACGAGAGATTAAAACATTATTACATAATAGAAAAATCTAAAAATGCAAAATTAAAAAATGAAACATGGGATAATCGAAATATCGTAGAATTATTATGAAAAATCGAAAAATTCTAAAATTGTAAAATTGAGAAATTGAGAACTAGAAATTGAAAAATTAAAACTGTAATTATTGAAAAATCCTAACATTATAAAATGGTAAAATTGAAAAATCGAAAATTCTACAACAAAAATTGAAAAATTAAAAATCAAAAAATGGAAAACCAAAAACAAAAATTGAAAAAAAATTACCAGAAAACACGAAAATTGAAGCAACAAAAATTTGAAACCACGAAAGATTAAAACATCTATTACATAATGGAAGAGAAATTCAGAACTAAAAATTGAAAAACTGCGAAAACCAAAAAATCGAAAAATTTAAAAATCTGAGTACGTATTGATAAATCATAAAATTGAAAAACCGAAAGCAAAATTAGAAAAACAGTTAATATTGAAATAAAAATCTCAAAAACCCGAAAAATTAAAGAAACGAAACATTGAAAAATCGGGAGATTAATAATTGAAAAATGATAATTCTAAAATTGAAAATTCAAAAAATCAACACAAAAAGTTGAAAAATTAAAAATCAAAAAACGGGAAACCAAAAGCAAATTATACACATTATTACATAATGGAAAAATCGCAAAATTGTAGAATCGAGAAATTGAGAACTAAAATTTAAAAATTTACTAAAACGAAAAATCGAAAAATTTAAAAATTAAAAGTCTAAATACCTATTGAACAATCAAAAATTGGAAATTCGATAAATCGAAAAACTAAAAGCAAATATTAAAAAATCAAAATTGTAAATATTGAAAAAAAAATTCTTGAAAACTTGAAAAATTGGAAAATTGAAAAATCGAATAATCAAAAAAATTGATAATTGAAAATCTAAATACATACATAGCTATATATACATATTGATTTATTGAAAAATAGAAGAATTGTATAATCGAAAACTGGAAATCTTGAATCCTAAGATCTTAAAATTGAAAAATTGTAGCTTTGATAAATCGAGAAATTGTGAACCAAAAACTGTAAAAACGAAAAATCCGAATAATCGAAAATTTTTAAAATTTCAATAGAAAAATCTAAATATTAAAAAATTTGGATTTGAAAATTCGAAAAATCTAAGAAACGCAAGTTGGAAAACAATTTTGGTATAACATAACCTGATTTTAATCCCTACCCTCATCTAATGTCAAAGATGCATAACATTTGATACTTCCCGAGCGTAAACTAGGGAAGTATTGTAATAGGGCCCATCCAAGGAATGACGACTTTCATGTTTTCTAGACGTTTCATGACCCCCAGTTCCGTCCGTCTGTAGTGACAGATAATCTCCGAAACTACTGAACCAATTGTTGTCAAATTATATATGTATATTAGGAATGTCGTGTAGATGGCAAAACGCTAACCAACGATGGAAATTTCGGGACTCGGGAGGAAAAAACTCCCCCAATAAACCAAAACCTCTGAACGCTCCAACGTAACTTCGTCCTTGGCCGAAGAAGCTCCGTATTCCTCGCTCGCACACGCCATCACTCCGCAAAAAGTCGCCCGACCAGTCCCACCTGCCCCACGCGCTCTCCAATCTCCATTTCGCAACAATTTCACCTTGACGAGAATACAAAATCGACGTTTCTTGTCCGCCTATCTTATCACATTATCAACTTATCACGCACTTGCCGCCGACGCAAATAATCCTCTCCAAGCCGTCACCTGCGGCCGCGGGTAAACCGGGCCGCCTCCGCCGCCTCCATTGTTTCCGCCTGAATGCAGCCCTCTGCATTGTTCCTCTCCGCTGCATCGCGTGCGATTCCGCAAATCCGTTGTTTGGAGCGGGCTATTTTTACGAAACAGCTCTTGGAGCGGCCCCAAAACCACGCCGGCCTCTGCATTATGTCGAAACGGCATTCCTGGATTCCGAATCGATCGCGATCGCAGGGGGCTGCCGGGGCGCCGCTCCAGATGGACAATTTCCGCCCATCCGGCACTCAAGTTTGCCTCTGTCAAAGAATATCCTGTCTTTGCCGCCTCGAATCAATCGGGCATTGTGCGGAGGTGAATGCCGGGATCGTCTAGACGCGATGGGAAAAGTTTCGGGATTATGATGGAGCCTTGAACGTCGCTGTATGTTTTCGTGAGTCATGAACCGATCATTGTTATTTCTGTTCAAGATCTGGGTGAAGTGTACGGGAGTGGGCGGAAGAAGAGAGAGTAATGGGGCTAGTTTCCGTTTAGTTTTTGCTGGGGGCGGCGGGAGCGGGATTGTAATGGGGTCGTTTTGACGAATGGCTGGTTTCATGGTTTTTCCACGGTTTACGAGGCGTAGCGTTCGGAAACGCGACCGGGGAAAATGCGAAAGGAATGGAGGTGAATTTTGTTGAACACAATACGGTGTTTAATAGGTTTTCCAGAGGGAAATTTCGGGACCATCATCATTTTGACGCTGCGTCACACAATAGGTTTTTCAATGAAAATTTTATTTATTTTCGCTCATTACAAGATCATTAGCATTCTGCGTCCATAGCGGAGCGCCTACAACTGACCCTTGAGCCATCCCTCGTCCACGCTCTCGGTCACGTCGAAAAAGAACTTTTCTCCATTCGAAAAAATCCTCTCAGACGCTTCGATTTTCGCCGCCCCGCCTTGCCAGCGCCACTGACCCCAACCCCAACCCTTTCCGATTCCCGTCACACGTCCGCCAAATCCCCTTTTTGTCCATCGGGCAGGGCCGTATTTGCATCGGACCCTCCGGCCCCCGGTCGCCGATGCGAATTTAATAATGTTGCAGCGGTGTCGCAAAAAGTGGCATGTAATACACGATCGATAAGTCCATCGAAACGAAGGACAAGTGAATCGTGTCCGTGGGATGTTTGGCGCCGTTTGCACTACGGGCGAGCTTATGAATGTGTACAGGGCCGGGCCGGACGTTAATCAACGTTTATTTTCTCGATCGCCGAGTTTATGGCGTGTTTCAATTTGCTCTTTACGAGGGGATAAACAGAGCTGGATTTAATTAATGGAGGTTTTCTTTCGGCTGGGAATTATTCGCCCGGTGGAATAAATGTGCCGCATGCCGGGTGACGTCAGCACATTCGTGACCCTATATCGTGAGCTTTTTCCGAAATTGACTATTATCCCCCAGACTTGGAAACCCGTCTTTCCGGGTAATCTGGTCTTGGATTTGTCGCGAATCCTCGAATCTGCGTTAGTTTTTACATGTTTGTCTTTCTTTTCCAGTTAATATCTACACCAATCTCCACGCGGACCCTGAAGTTGTCCACTACAGTGCGAAGAACACGATCGAGCTGAATTGTAATACAACGGAGAGCGAAGGAGATATTACATGGTGAGTCGAACGGAATCGCATTGAGTCGAGAGATGAAAGTTTGTGTTGCTCTTCAAGGAGTTTGTTTGGGATAAATTATGTTCCATCTGATTGAAAATACAAGAGTTATGGAAGTTGGAGGAGAGCGGATAAGTTTGCAGGGTGCTAATCTCTCGTATCACGTATTTAAATGATTGCTCTCGGGGTGGCTATTTCAGTCGTAAGTTTAGAGAAATATTGTGATAGAAACGTGTTAGTCCAATTCCTTTTATCTAACGGCGGCATTGTGTTGCTAAGCCGCTTTGTGCCGCGACATCTTTGTTATTCGAGCCACCAAACTGGACTTTTCACTTAGAAATATTATTTTTATGGAGGGAAGTTTCTAAACTTCGTTGATTTGACAGTGTATGAAGCTGTAAAAAGAAGTAGCAATCAGTTGTAATGTAGAATTTCAACGAAAGAAAAAATGTCAGCTTGTCCTTGTAACGGTTCCAGTCGTGTTGGCGTTAAATTTAATTACCGAGTGCAATTTTTGAGTCCACTGGCAGAGAAATCGGAGATACGCAGATGATTTTGCTCAACGGGTAGAACCGAATAAATCACATTTTCCTCACTCCGATTTATTACGGCGTGCCGTGTTTACTTTGGATAATTTACAATTCTTTTGAAGTTACCAAGAGCATCATAATTGTTTACCGGCTGACGTTGATGAACATGTACACATACATATTTACCCAGTTTATTTAACCAACATCTTCCAGTGCAAATATTTTCGATGTCTTGTTGATTTTTTTCAATAAACAGTAGATAAATTATAATCCAAATATCAAACGATGTGAAGGAATTTTTCCATTATTTTGTGAATGTATAATGTTATCATAGCGCGTCTTATCAGACAAATGGACTTTGGTGCAAGTAAATAATAATAATAAAGCTTAAACTGTTCGGCGTTGTTCAGAGATCTGTGTTGATTCCGCCGATTGTTGCCTATTTTATCAGTGACGTTATAATAAGTGATGTTAACAGTCCACTGTGTGTTGATGACCTATTTATTCCCGATTTTATTCTGATTTCAATATTTTTAAGTGTTGTGTAGCAAAGAGACTTTCGAATTACTTCCAAAACAAGACCCATGGGGAGTCCCCAAGATTGTTTCAAACTACTTCAAAAACAAAGCACAAGAGGTCTACATTTTTTCAATTTACTTAAAAAACAATACCCACAGGGGGTCCCGGAGATTCTTTCAAACTACTTAAAAAACAAAGTACAAGAGGTCCCCGAAATTCTTCCAAACTTCTTCAAAGTCACAACACAAGGGGTCCCAGAGATTCTATCAAACTACTTCAAAATCAAAACAAGGGGTCCCCGAGATTCTTTCAAACTACCACAAACTACTTCTAAATCAAAACATAAAGAGGTCCCCGAGATTATTTTAAACTACTTCAAAATCGAAACACAAAGGCTCCCCGAGATTCTTTCAAATTAGATCAGAAAGAAGACCCATAGAAGGTATCCGAAACTCTTTTAAACTACCCCAAAATCAAAACACAAAGGCTCACCGAGATTCTATCCAGCTACTTCAAAATCAAAACCTGGGGTCCCCGAGATTCTTTCAAATTACTTCACAAAATACACTTCGGGCGCCCGAGATTCTTTCAAACCTCTTCAGAATCAAAATACAAGGGGTCCCCGAGATTCTATCAAACTACTTCAAAATCAACACATGGGGTCCCCGAGATTTTTTCAAACTACTTAAAAAAATGCACTTAGGACGCCCGAGATTCTTTCAAACTACGTCAAAAACACACTTAAACACAACTAAATCAAAACACGAGGAGCCCCCGAGATTCTATCAAACTACGTCAAAATCAAAACAAGGGATCCCCGAGATTCTTTCAAACTACTCCAAAATCAAAGTAGAAGGGGTCCCCGAAATTCTATCACACTACTTCGAATTTAAAATACCAAGGGTCCCGGAGATTCTATCAAACTACTTTCAAATCAAAACCTGGGGTCCCCGAGATTGTTTAAAATTACTTCAAAAAAATACACTTAGGGCGCCCGAGATTCTTTGAAACTACGTCAAAACACACTTAAGGCCCCCGAGATTCTTTCAAACTTCTTCAAAATCAAAAAACACGAGGATCCACCGAGATTCTATCAAACTACGTCAAAATCAAAACAAGGGATCCCCGAGATTCTTTCAAACTACTCCAAAATCAAAATAGAAGGGGTCCCAGAAATTTTATCAAACTACTTCCAAATCAAAACAAGGTATCCCCGAGATTCTTTCAAATTACATCAAAAAATCATCATTCTGTTGGGCATATAAATCTTATTTATTTATTTATTATTTAAAAACAAGACCCACAAAGGGTCCCCGAGATTCTTTTAAATTACGCCAAAAACAAAACCCACAAAGGTCCCCCGAGATTCTTTCAAACTTCTTCAAAATCAAACCACAAGGAGTCCCCGAGATTCTATCAAACTTTTTCAAAATCAAAACAAGGGGTCCCCGAGATTCTTTCAAATTACATCAAAAACAAGACCCAGAAAGCTTACCCGAAATTCTTACAAACTTCTTGAAAATCAAAACACGAGGAGCCCCTGAGATTCTATCAAACTACGTCAAAATCAAAACAAGAGGTCCCCGAGATTCTATCCAACTACTTCAAAATCAAAACATAAGAGATTCTTTCAAATTACATCAAAAACAAGGCCCACAAAGGTTCCCCGAGATTCTTTCAAACTTCTTCAAAATCAAAATACAACGAGTCCCCGAGATTCTTTCAAACATACTTCAAAATCAAAATAGAAGTGATCTCCGAGATTCTATCAAACTACTTCGAAATTAAAATACAAAGGGTTCCCGAGATTCTATCAAACTACTTCCAAATCAAAACAAGGTGTTCCCGAGATTCTATCCAACTACTTCAAAATCAAAACACAAGGAGTCCCCGAGATTCTATCCAACTACTTCAAAATCAAAACATAAGGAGTTTACGAGATTCTAACCAACTTTTTCAAAATCAAAGCAAGGGGTCACCGAGATTCTTTCAAATTACATCAAAAACAAGGCCCACAAAGGTTTCCCGAGATTCTTAAGAAGAAGAATAAGAATAAGAATAAGTTTATTGCACAACTACAGCAGCGTACAAAAAGTTAGAATGCAGGCTAACCCTGATACTAAAACGATTCTAACTCATACCTACACACATTAAACATACAATATACAATTAGAATACGTAAATAAGTAAAATAAATAAAACAACCTAACAAACATAGTCAAACTTAAAATCGACGAACATTAACATTTATGTCATGACCATTTAAAATATCAGACTTAATTCTCTTTTTGATACAAGAACTAGATGCATTTAAATATATCAAAAAATTATTGTTAATATGTGATGCTAAGTAGGAGAAAGACGACTGAAACTTTGCAGTTCTGTGAACAGGAATCTCGAGTCGTTGATCAACATGTCTTAAGTCTCTTATATTTATTTCATTTCTTTTAATCATTTTAGCAAAAAGATATTCAGGAACATGAGTTTCTAGAATCTTTTTAATGAAATTTACGTAATGTAAGAAACGCTGTTCATTTAGCTTAAGTTCTTTTAAAAGCTTTATATATGGTGAAATATGTTGAAATCTCGGTACGTTCTTCCAAACTTCTTCAAAATCAAATTACGAGGAGTCCCCGAGATTCTATCAAACTACTTCCAAATCAAAACAAGGTGTCCCCGAGATTCTATCCAACTACTTCAAAATCAAAACATAAGGAGTCCCCGAGATTCTATCCAACATTTTCAAAATCAAAACAAGGGGTCCCCGAAATTCTTTCAAATTACATCAAAAACAAGGCCCACAAAGGTTCCCCGAGATTCTTTCAAACTTCTTCAAAATCAAAATACAAGGAGTCCCCGAGATTCTTTCAAACATACTTCCAAATCAAAATAGAAGGGATCCCCGAGATTCTATCAAACTACTTCCAAATCAAAACAAAGTGTCCCCGAGATTCTTTCAAATTAAATCAAAAACAAGACCCACAAAGTCTCCTCGAGATTCTTTTAAATTATCCCATAAACAAGATCCACAAAGGTTTCCCGAGATTCTTTCAAACTACTTCAAAAAAACACACTTAAGAGTCCCCGAGATTCTTTCAAACTTCTTCAAAATCAAAACACATGGAATCCCCGAGATTCTATCAAACTACTTCAAAGTCATAATAAGGAATCCCCGAGATTCTATCAAACTACGTCAAAATCATAACAAGGGGTCCCCGAGCTTCTTTCAAACATACTTCAAAATCAAAATAAGGTAAAATAAGAGATTCTTTCAAATTACATCAAAAACAAGACCCACAAAGGTTCCCCGAGATTCTTTCAAACTTCTTCAAAATCAAAACACGAGGAGTCCCCGAGATTCTATCCAACTACTTCAAAATCAAAACATAAGTAGTCCCCGAGATTCTGTCCAACTTTTTCGAAATCAAAACAAGGGGTCCCCGAGATTCTTTCAAATTACATCAAAAACAAGGCCCACAAAGGTTCCCCGAGATTCTTTCAAACTTCTTCAAAATCAAAAGTCCCCGAGATTCTTTCAAACATACTTCAAAATCAAAATAGAAGTGATCCCAAGGTGTCCCCGAGATTCTTTCAAATTACATCAAAAACAAGACCCACAAAGTGTCCCCGAGATTCTTTTAAATTATCCCATAAACAAGATCCACAAAGGTTTCCCGAGATTCTTTCAAACTACTTCAAAAAAGCACACTTAAGAGTCCCCGAGATTCTTTCAAACTTCTTCAAAATCAAAACACATGGAATCCACGAGATTCTATCAAACTACTTCAAAGTCATAATAAGGAGTCCCCGAGATTCTATCAAACTACGTCAAAATCATAACAAGGGGTCCCCGAGATTCTTTCAAATTATTTTGAAATCAAAATACAAGGGGTCCCCAAGATTCTTTTAAATTACGTCAAAAACAGGACCCACAAAGGTTCCCCGAGATTCTTTCAAACTTCTTCAAAATCAAAACACACGGGATTCTTTTTTCTTCAAAGTCGAAATACAAAGGCTCCCCGAGATTATTTTAAATTGGATCAAAAAACCCATTGAGAGTCCCCGAAATTATTTAAATTATTCAAATTCAAAACACAAATGATCCTCGAGATTCTATCAAACTTCTTCCGAATCAAAACACAAGGGATTCCCGAGATTCTATTAAACTACTTCAAAGTGAAAACAAGGGGTCCCCGAGATTCTATCAAACTACTTCAAAATCAAAACACGAGGAGCCCCCGAGATTCTTTCAAACATACTTCAAAATCAAAACAAAGGGTCCCCGAGATTCTTTCAAACTACTTCAAAATCGTAACTAGGGGCCCCCGAAATTCTTCCAAACTACTTCAAAACAACACATCTAGGACTCCTGAGATTCTTTCAAACTTCTTCAAAATCGAAACACAAGGAGTCCCCGAGATTCTATCAAATTACTGCAAAAACAAAATACAAGAAATCCCCTGGATTCTTTCAGTTTACTTCAAAAACATAACGCGAGGGGTCCCTGAGATTCTTTTAAAATTACCTGAAAGACAAGACGTCACAGGCAGGGGAGAGTGGGACCGCCTAAAAATGAGGAAGTTTACAGAGTATCCCAAAGCGCCGATGTCCTAATCGAAATTTGACATACTTTTTAAAAGTATGTCAAATTTCATGTGAAATATGTTCTTGAGTAGGTAATCGTGTTATAAAAAGAAAAACAACAGAGGAGCCCCACCCCGTCTCAGTCTCAACCGTCATGAATTTTCCATTCGTTGTCAGACCGAGGGGCGGAGCGTAATTGCAAAATCGATATTTCCCCTTACAAATTTAACATTTTAAATGTTTTCAGTTTTTAAGACGTAATTTAAGCCCCGCCCACCCGCCCTATCTCAATTCTGATGATTTTTTTCATTCGTTGTGAGCCAAGGGGGCGGAACTTAATTGTAAAATCCTTATTTCTCTACAATAAATAAAAAATATGTTTTTGAGTGTTATTCAAAAAATACAATGTATATTAAGAAAAAATTAACGCTGAAGATTAACCTGCCTTGAACTAAATAGTAATAAAGTTTTCATTCGTTGGAGACATAGGGGCGGAGCCTAATTGCAAAATCCATATTTCCTTACAAAAATTTACCATTTTAAACGTGTTTTAAGTTTCTAAGAATAAAAAAATCATTACAATTGAGATGGGGTGGGTGGGCGGGGTTTATATTTTGTTTTTTCCTTCTTAATATACATAGTATTCTTTGAACAACAAGATACTCAAAAACATGTTTTTGAATTCTTGTAAAGAAATGAGTATATTGCAGTTACGCTCCGCCCTCTTGGTTCACGGCGAATAAATAAAAATGATAACAATTGAGACAGGGCGGGTGGGCGGGCTTATATTTTGACTTTTTGTTGTAATATGTGTAGACTTCTTTTCATAAGAAGAAACTTAAAACAAGGTTAAAATGGAAAATTTGTGTAAGATTATCAAAATTTTCTGAAAACACAATATCAGAGGACAGTACATTTTTAAATGGAATCATTATTCTGTTTTACTGATAACGGTAACAAAAATCACCGACAAAGAGTGCTAGTTGTTCAGAGGTCTGCCGTGAGTCCGCCGCTTTTGGTCAACGACGTTATAACACGTGACTTAACTATCCACTGTGCGCCGATGACCCATTTGTTCTTGATTTCATTCCTATTTAATGATTTTTAATTGGTGTGTGGCGCTATTTTCAAGAAAAGCACTTCACCCAATCCTGAATTATCAAATTTCTCTGAAAATACAATACCAAAGGACCCTACATTATTGAATCAAATCATCATTGTGTTACTGATAACAGTAACAAAAATAACAGACAAAGAGTGCAAGAATGTTTTTATGGAAGGGATCACACAAGCTCAAGTTCGGGGTTGTTCAGAGGTCTACCTTAGGTCCGCCGATTTTTGTCTATTTCGTCAATGACGTTATAATAATGTAGGATGTGAACTATCGACGGTGTGCCGACAACCCAATTATCCTCGCTTTTGTCCCTATCTAATTATTTTTAAGTGTTGTGTAGTCCCGTTTTCAAGAAACGCGACTTCGTTGAACCCCGAACCGTCCGCTCTCCCAAATTATCAAAATTTCTCTGAAAATACAATACCAGAGGACAGTATATTTTTAAATGGAAATATTATTTTGTTTTACTGATATCGACAAGTTCGGGGTTGTTCAGAGGTCAGCCTTGAGTCCGCCGATTTTTGCCAATTTCATTAGCGACGTTATAATACAGGATGTGAACTATCCACGGTGTGCCGACGACCCAATTATTCCCGTTTTATCCCTACCTAATTATTTTTAAGTGTTTTCAAGAAACGCGACTTCGTCCAACCCCGAACCGTCCGCTCTTCCGAATTATCAAATTCCTCTAAAAATACAATACCAGCTGCCTCCTTGGCCGTTTGTAAACACTCGAACATAAAACCGTCCTAAATAATAGCAACACCATCCCCCCTCTCCCCCGTCGAAACCGTGACGTCCGTGCCCGACCTCACGAACCTCCCGACTCCTGCAGCGCTCTCGAATTTTTGAGATATTTATTTTTGCCCGGTGGTTTCGACACCGCACACCTAGTCGATTCCCGGCCGAAAATAACCCCAGAGGTACAACACACACACGTCCGAAACTAAAACTTGACCTCGTTCTGTCAACAGGGAAAAAGGCGGCAAGCTGGTGACGGAAGTGAGCGACTTGAAGGACCGCGTCGTCATCAAAGGCCATAACAACAACACCCTCACGTTGAAGGACCTGAAGGAGAACGACGTCGGCAACTACACGTGCGTCCTCACCATCGGCAGCGCCAGATATCAGGACAGCGTCGCCTTGGCCACGGCGTCCAGCGCCAAGTGGGGCGTCAGGGTCACGAAGAACACCAACGTCGTCGAGGGCGAGAAGCTGACGTTGAAGTGCGAGGTGCGGGGGGATCTCACGCTCCAGTGGTGGTACAGTAAGTCGGAAGTTGGAGAATTTTCACCTATTGCACTGGGTGGCGGGTGTGGCACCAGGAGGATGAGTGGATGGGCGCTTGCGGTGTGTTATATGTGTTGCGGTTGGCAGTCGTGGTTTCCTCCGTAGCTGCCTTTTTTTTTTTATTTTATTGTTTTTTTCTGGTAGTGGTGCGACGGCCCACTTGATCCCGTCATGCACGCATGCGTATTACCGTGCGTGAGATGTCGCCAAAAATTTCACTTATATTCGACAAAGATCTATTCTTTTCCAAAAAATGCTAATACGTATTTATAATTCTTCACTATTTTTGTATGCTAATAAAATTTTATGGACTATTAGTTCGTTCAGGGAACATTGCTTGAACGACTTCCCTGCCAAATACCCTCGTCAATCTGTCAGGGTTGCAATCAGGAAGTAGTTGTGCGTCGGAAATTCGCTTGGAACGAAATTATCGGTCATTATCGAGTAGCGCAAATCCGCCCCTGGACGATTTGACGACCCCCAATCTGTAATTTATAATTTCACGGATTCGGAATTTCCACTGTTTGACTTTTCGATTGTAAAATTTTATTACTGATACGAAAATAGTCTGTTTACTGTACGTCAGGGACGTCAGATTTCGACACATTGGTCGAGTTCTCCGTTTTTATTGTCGTCCCTTTCAAAAACTTGATGACGTCATCACTACTATCGTCTGAAATTTATAGTGTGGACTCGCATCGTTCGTGGTTTAATAATGTGTCTATATTTTTACTTCTTGAGCATAAGCAACTTCTGTTTTCTCGACGTTGCATGACGCGTAGAGTACGAAAAAATGGGTCTTCTGTTTCGGTCTGTCTGTCTACCTTCTGACCGAATTTCTATTAGACGGATAATCTCCGAAACTACTGGACCGGTTGTTAACAAATTTTATATGTGTATTATGAATATCGTGTAGATGGTAAAACGCTAACCAAAATTTGGATAAACAATAGGTTGACGTCACCTAGAAAACTTACATTGGTGAATATTATTTCAATTTTATAAAAAGAAATCTCCGTCACATGTGATTTATGAATCCGTCTTCAGTTTTTACCCTATACATCCAGATTTTTGGGAAAAAAATCAAAATTATATAACAAAATTTTGCAATTTGACTTTGAAACTGAAAAACCGAATGCTCTGAAACCTTGCAAACGGTTTAAGGTTTTCATAAGGATGGTAAATGATTAATCAAAATTTGAATGTTCATGAAGTCACAGCCTATTGATTTTTAAATTTTTCGCTTTTCGCATATTTCGGTTCTTCAATTTCTCGTTTTTTCAAATTTTCGATTTTTCCATATCTTTATTCTTCGGTTTTTAAATTTTTCGATTTTTTTTTCGTCTTTCAGATTTTTCGATTTTCCCAGTTTTTTTATTCATCAATTTTTCGATTTTTTAGTTTTATCAATTTTTAGGATTCTGAATTTTTCAATGTTTCGATTTCTCACTTTTTCGATTTTCCAATTTTTCGGTCCAATTTCCCGCTTTTTCAAATTTTCAACTTTTTAAGATTTTTCGATTCTTCAAATTTTTTAATTCCTTAAATTTTAGATTTTTCGTTTTCTCGTTTTTTGATTTTTCGGTTTTTCGATTTTTCAGTTTTATCAGCTTTTAGATTTCTGGATTTTTTGATTTTCCCATTTCTCGATTGCTCAATTTTTCGATGTTTCAATTTCTCGACTTCTTCATTTCCCAATGTTTCGATTGTTCAATTTTTTGATATTTTAATATTTTCATTCCCTAAATTTTAGATTTTTCGAGTTCTCGTTTTTTGATTTTTGTTTTTCGATTTTTTTTTTATTTTTTGACTTTCGGATTTTTCGATTTCTCGTTTTATGATTTTTCGGTTTTTCGATTTGTCAATTGTTGAATTTTTCAGTTTTAGCAATTTTTAGATTTCTGGGTTTTTCAATTTTTCGACTCTTCAGTGTTTCGATTTCTCAATTTTTCGGTTCTTCAGTTTCTCGTTTTTTCAAATTTTCGATTTCTCGATATTTTGATTCTACCATTTTTCGATGTTTCTTTTTTTTTCAATTTTTTGACTTTTCAATGTTTCGATTTTTCAGATTCGAGATTTTACAGTTTGTTGATTTTTAAATTTTTCGATTTCCAATTTGGTTCTTCAGTTTCCCGTTTTGTCAATTTTTCGATTTTCCCATTTCTCGATTGCTCAATTTTTCGATTTTCTAATATTTCGGTTCAATTTCTCGTTTTTTCAAAATCTCGATTTTCGATTTCCCCATTTCTGGATTGCTCAACTTTTCGATGTTTAATTTTTTCAGTTTTCCTATTCTTTAATTTTTCTTCGATTCTTTAAATTCTAGATTTTTCGATTTTTGGTTTTTTAATTTTTCGGTTTTTCGATTTTCCAATTTAACTTCTCGGTTTTTAAACTGTTTGGTTTTTCAGTTTTATTAATTTTTAGACTTTTGAATGTTTCAATTTCTCAAATTTTCGACTTCTAAGATTTTTCGATTTTTCCATTTTTCGATATTTATTTTTTTTCAGTTTTCTTATTCTTCAATTTTTCTTCGATTTTTCAATTTTTCAACATCTGAGTTTTGGGATTTTCCAATTTTTCGATTCTTAAATATTTTTTCGACTTAAAGGTCTTTCGATTTTTTGATTTCACGATTGCTCAATTTTTCGATGTTCGGCGTCTCGATTTTCCAATTTAACTTTTCGGTTTTTAAATTCTTCGATTTTTCAGTTTTATCAATTTTTAGATTTCTGAATTTTTCAATTTTTCGATTCCTCGGTTTTTCGATATTTCAGTTTTATCAATTTTTAGATTTCTAGGTTTTTCAAATTTTCGATTTCTCCATTGTTTTAGTTTTCGGCTTTTAAATTTTTCAATTTTTTTTTCGACTTCAAGGTCTTTGGATTTTTTGATTTCCCGATTGCTCAATTTTTCGTATTGCGGTGTCTCTATTTTTTGATTTTTTGTTTTTCGATTTGTCAATTTTTCGTTTTAAATTTTACATTTTTCGATTTTTCAGTTTAACTTTTCGGTTTTTAAATTCTTCGATTTTTCAATTTTATCAATTTTTAAATTTATGAATTTCTCAATTTTTCGACTTTCCAATGTTTCGATTCCCCAAATTTTCGACTTCAATGTTTCAATTTTTTGATTTTCCAATTTTTCGGTTCTTCAATTTCTGGTTTTTTCAAATTTTCGATTTCTCCATTATTTTATTTTTCAGCTTTTAAATTTTTTAATTTTTTTTTTCGACTTCAAGGTCTTTCGATTTTTTGATTTCCCGATTGCTCAATTTTTCGATATTTCGGTTTCTCCCCTTCTCGATTTCCCAATTTTTTTCAATTGTTCGATGTTTCAATTGTTTTTTTTTTTTCAATTTTTTCAATTTGAGTTTTGGGATTTTTCAATTTTTCGATTTGTCAAATTTCCGTTTTTTAATTTTTACATTTTTCGATTTTTTAGTTTAACTTTTCGGTTTTTAGATCATTCGATTTTCAGTTTTATCAATTTTTAGGTTTCTAGATTTTTCAATTTTTCGGTTTATAAATTTTTCGATTTCTCCATTTCAAAATTTTTCAATTTTTCGATATTTTGAATTTTTGGGATTTTTCAATTTAACTTTTGGTTTTTAAATTGTTCGATTTTCAGTTTTATCAATTTCTTCTAGATTTCTGGATTTTTCAATTTTTCGATTTTTTTTTATTTTCCCATTTCTAGATTGCTCAATTTTTCGAGGTTTAATATTTTTTCAGTTTTTCTATTCTTCAATTTTTCTTCGCTATTTCAATATTTCGATTCCTCAATTCTTTAAAATTTGGATTTTTCGATATTTCAGTTTTGACATTTATCAGTTTGTTGATTTTATAAATTTTTCGATTCTTCAATTTCTCGTTTTTTCAAATTCTCCTTAAATTTTAGATTTTTCAATTTGTCGATTTTCCGTTTTTAAATTTTACACTTTTAGAGTTTTCAGTTTTCTCAGTTTTTAGATTTCTGGATTTTTCAAGTTTTCGACTTTTGAATGTTTCGATTTCTGGATTTTTCGATTTTCCAATTTCTCGATTGCTCAAATTTTTGGACGTTTCGGTTTTCGACCTCCCGATTTCCAAATTTTTCAATTTTTAGATTCTTGAATTTTTTGATTTTTCGGTTTTTCGATTTTTCAGTTTTTAAATCGTTCGATTTTTCAGTTTTATCATTTCTAGATTGATTTTTCAATTTTTGGGCTTTTCAATGTTTGGATTTTTATTTTACGACTTTAAAATTTCTCGATATTTTTATTTTCCCATTTCTCGATTGCTCAATTTTTCGACGTTCAATTTTCTTTCAGTTTTTCGATTTTTCAATTTAACTTTTCGGTTTTTAAATTGTTCGATTTTTCGATATTTCTGTTTTTAAATTTTTAGACTTCAACGTTTAGATTTCTCAATTTTTCAATATTTCAGTTTTAAGTTTTTTCAATTTGTTGATTTTTTCAGTTTTACCAATTTTTAGATTTCTGGATTTTTCAATTTTTCGATTGGTCAATTTTTCAATATTTGAGTTTTGCAATTTTTCAATTTTTCGATAATCTAATTTTTTGATTTCTTAAATTTTAGATTTCTCGATTGTTCAAATTTTCGATGTTTCGATTTCTAGATTTCCAAATTTTTCTTCGATTCTTCAATTTTTTGATTTTTCGGTTTTTCGATTTGTCAATTTTTCGTTTTTAAATTTTTCATTTTTCGACTTTTCAACGTTTAGATTTCTCAATTTACAATATTTCAGTTTTGAGATTTTTCAGCTTGTTTTTTCAAATTTTCGATTTCTCGATTTTATTTTTTATCGATTTTTAAGATCTTTCCATTTTTTGATTTTCCCATTTCTCGAATTGCTCAATTTTTCGATGTTTCAATATTTGAGTTTTTGGGATTTTTCAATTTTTCGATATTTCAGTTTGTTCATTTTTAAATTTTTCCGTTTTTCGATTTGTCAGTTTTTCATTTTTAAATTTTACATTTTCCGATTCGTCAATTTAACTTTTCGGTGTTTAAATCGTTCGTTTTTCAGTTTTATCAATTTTTAAATCCAAAAATTTTTCAATTTTTCGACTTTTCAACGTGTTGATTTTATAATTTTTTGGTCCTTCAATATTTTGTTTTTTCAAATTTTCGATTCCTTGATTTTCTTTATTTTTTGGTTTTTAGATTTCTCCATTTTTTGATTTTCCCATTTCTCACATGCTCAATTTTTCCATGTTTCATTTCAGTTTTTCTGTTCTTCAATTTGTCTTCGATTTTTCAATCTTTCGGTATTTGAGTTTTTGGGATTTTTCAATGTTTCGATTATTTAATTAAAAATTCCTTAAATTTTAGATTTTTTTGATTTTTCAATTTAACTTTCGGTTTTTAAATTGTTCGACTTTTCGATATTTCGATTTCTCAATTTTTCGATTTTTCGAGTTAACTTTTCGGCTTTTAAATTGTTCGATTTTTTATTCTTCAATTTTTCTTTGATTTTTCAGTCTTTCGATATTCGAGTTTTTGGGATTTTTAAAATTTTTTAAATTATTCAATTTTCAGTTTTATCAATTTCTCAAATTTTTCGATATTTCAGTTTTGAAATTTTTAAGTTTATTGATTTTTAAATTTTTCGATTTTGTCGACGTTTAATTTTTTTTCAGTTTTTCTATGCCTCAATTTTTCAATTTTTCGACTTCTCGATCTTCTGTTTTAAGGTTATCGTAAGCTTGGTTGATCAAAATTTTTCGTTGATGCCTCCAAAAAAGTGATGACGTGTTTTTTTACAATTTTGCCAAATAAATGTTTTTTAAATTTTATAAAATAACAGCTGCTGTGATTTATGAATCCGTTTTGGCGTTTTACCCTTCCCACCCAGATTTAAAAAAAAAACACACAAAATTTCATTCCTATGTTTTACAATTTAACTTTGAAAGTATAAACATAAACAGTCGAAGTTAGGCATGCACTGAGAAATTGAGAATATCTACATTTTTTCCCGTGAAACTTTCTCGGGAACAAATTTTATAATTTTTCAAAGAAGCAGAATTGGTTGGAGAACTTCAGAGGCCAGGAAAGTTCTGTCGAAATAATTTTCGACCAATTGTTATAGTCGTTGATTCAGTGTCTCTAAGAAATCGATGATTAAAATTGATCCCCTCCAAAAAGTTGATGACGTCATCGGAAACTTTATTCAAGAAAATCTGTGGTTACGCTTGTGCGACGACGGAAGTTCTATAATTGCTTTGGGCCATTTTTTCCACTTTTAGTTTCCTTCTCTGTTGTACCTCTACCATCCTTCATAATTTTTTTTTCTTCACAACTAACTCTTTTCTTCATTTTCAAGGAAACACCACCAGTGGTGACAACTACACGCAACTGCCAGGAAAAGAAGAGCGTGTTAGGCTAGTACCGTACTACGACGAAGATAGAAAAGTCAACGTGACCGACGGCGAGCTAAAAATCGACGAAGTCAACATGGGCGACCGGGGTGAATACATATGCATCGGCGAGTCCGAGGACGGACAAAGGTTCAACATGACTAGCGCAGTCCGCATTAAAGGTACGAGAAAACACCCTGTAGCGCGATACTTAAAAATTTCTTTCTTCGTTGTTTTAGACAAGTACGCAGCCCTGTGGCCATTCTTGGGCATATGTGCCGAAGTGTTCGTTCTCTGCGCCATCATCTTCATATACGAGAAGAAACGTAACAAAACCGAATTAGAAGAAAGCGACACCGACCAAAGTCCAGACCAGTAAGTATGAGTCGCTGGACGTCTGATGAGGCGCCTCGAGACGGCTTGTCGTCCCGAGGCGTCGGCGAGCGGAGTTTTCAGGCGGACGTCCAACTAGACCGCTTTGATATTTTTTTATAGGAAGTGACGTTTTCTTCCAGGAAAAACACCCCCGACCACGGTAAAGAGTCAAACTTGAGGCACAGGCAGTGAATCCAGTTGTTAACCCTACCACACGTAATTAAAAATGAAATTAGAAGTTCAAGTTATAGTTACATTCGTCATGTGTATTGAAGACTATTTAACTAACAAAGTTGTCCGAGTTCGCACTGTACAAAGTAACGTTTAAGGTTATTGTTGAAGCCTTCGTTTTCTCGGACGGGTGTTGCTTTCGAGTACAGTCTTTTTTAATTGTTGTTGTGTTTTTTCCGCGACTTCGATTCCGTTCAGGTACTTACTTTTCCAATTTCTAGTACTTAATGTAGATATTGTAAAATTGTTATGGCGCAATCGAAAGAGGCTGTAATCCACCGCAAACCATCAACCATTGTACATAAATAAATTAAGAGATTGTATCTTGTTTATATATGTATTGTTAAAAGAAATTGTGTTTAAACATATGGACTGTTGTTTTTTCTTTATGTTTTTGTGATACTTCACATTGTAAAGTGCTTAATGATCCAAAGACCGCGTCTTGTTATCTCTGAATTAATTTGGCCGATTTGTAGTTAAAAGTATCAATGTGGTCTTCATGTCATCGGTACTAATAGATTCTGTAGGCTGCTTGGTTTCACCGCTCAGTGCTAACTTCTAGGGTTTTGATTTCGACCAAAAGTGGCGGCGGCACTTGTCCCGCGCCGCCATTTCTCGATGTGAACCATTTTAACTCTTCTCTAGTTGACTTACTGATAAATTTTAAGCGTACTATATTAGAATATAAAATAACAAAGCGATGACTTAAAAATAACACAGAGCAGATTTATTTTTTACTTATTCTAAGAGTTATATTTAAGTCATTATTAGGTTTAGACTTAAATTTCCACGAGGTGAAACTCGAACTCGCCGTCCTATCCCCACTCAATCGACTTAGTTTAGGTTCCTACCATAGCATCGACGGCTCTTCGAATTCCACCCGACATAAACAAAAAAAAAATAAATAAAACAAATTCAACTAGTATTCGCAATTAGAGTAAAAATATTGGTGCTTGCACAAAAAGTACTTCATCGGACAGGATCCACTGTCGTCGCGTTCATGTTTAGACGCTGCGCTGCTGATTTTCGTTTGAGTTGTATGTATAATCGTTTTCATCCCATCATTTGTTTTTCTTTCGTAGTTTAACTTTTTTTTATGTAACAATCATCTATACTTCCCTGTTTTTACTTGTGACATACCATTTTTAAAAAGTAATCACAAATTATTATGTTGGAATAAACTTGAAATAAAATTTTATTCGTTGTTTCGACTTTGGAGTTACCTACAGAGGGTGCTGAGGTTAAGTTTATTCATACATGAAAAATACAATAACAACCAACTCTATAACCAAGGAACAATAAATTTACATAAATGCCTATTACCAGTGTATATAAAACCCATCATGCGAACTTCAACCTGTAGGCGGCGATCCCCACCAGACCGATTGCGAAACTCGCCGCTAGCGTCGCACTCCATAAAAGGATCTAAAAATTAACAAAACAAGATTTTTACACTTTCTTAACAATTAACTCTAAAATTTACTAATGCAACTTAAAGAAATCTAATTAGCGCATGCGCAGTTCTTGTCACATGAGCACTACATTTTGAAAGTTTTATTTCATCATTTCTCGTGATTCCTGATAGTGATAAACATGGTAATTTTGATGTGTGGAATATTGATTACAACGTAAATGTATTCCGTGAAATTACACAATTCGTTTCTACCATAATCGATAAAATCAGTCTGTCTATAATTTTTTTTTTCCAACGACAATTCAAACAAATAAAAACTTCTTAAGATAAAAGATAATCTTAAAGTGCACTTAAAATTTTAATGTACATAATTGGTTAAGTAATTTGAGAGATTAACTGCGCGTCACTTAAATTAAGTAGAAATGACAGTGTAACTTTAGCAACAAATAACTTAATTATAACCAAAGATAAAAAAAACACGATTAAACGCAGCCATGGATTTTCGAAGACTTGTCTTTGATAGAATTTTCGTCAGTTTAAAAGTTCGAAACGATCAAAGACAAACTTTAAAAAATTCATGGCTGTCTTGATCGGGTTTTTATTGCTCTCTCGGTACTTTATTATATTACACTAAGCCATGGTGACAGTCAGTAAAGGATGACTTTTTGAGGTAAAAAAATTGTGTTTAAGAATAGAAAGTTGGGGTGAGTAACGCGGAGGTGGCAACCGACACATTACCTTTAGTTCTATTTTTATTGCTACTCAACCTATATCAAATTTATTAAATTTAGTTTTACCCCTTAGCATCATGTAGCACCCATTTTAAATTTTAGTTTACTTGTTTATTTTACTTATACTTCTGCTTTTATATTCTTCACTTAGTGTAAAAATTTTATTTTTTGACTAGTCTTTGTACAGCATCGGTCTGCAAACGGATCAATTAAACTATATTGTCAAAAAATTCTAGAACATAGATTCGAAGGGCGACTCCAAAAATACAGCGTTTTTATGATCCCAGAGCAAGATTTTGGAAATATTCGATTTGAAATGAAGTTTTTTAAAAAAAATCGAAAAAAATCGTCATATTTCAATTGGCGATTCTGGAAAAATGGTACGAATTGTCGAAGAAATGTAGCCGAAAACAACTTCTGGAGGTTTTGAAGGTAATGGGAAAAATCCGAAATTTTCCTAACGGAAAAATTTTGATTTTGAAAAAGTTGTCCAAAAATCTTCAAAAAATTCTGGAATATAGATTTCGAAGGGCTGATTAAAAAAATATAGCGTTTTAATGGTCCCAGGACAAGAGTTTAGAAATAAATACTAGGTTTGAAATAAAATTTTACGAAATAGGCGATTTTCGAAAATTGGTTGAAGTTATTAAATTAAAATGAATCCGAAAATAATTTGTGAATGTCGAAATGTACAAGAAAGTATCTTTAGTTAAGTTTAGGTGATCAAAAAATTTCTAAATTTTCGTAAGGGAAAAATTTTGGTTTGAAAAGAGTTAGACAAAAATTCTATAATCTAGATTTCGAAGTGGTGATTCAAAAAATACAGGGTGGTTATGATCGAATAAAAATACGGGAAAAATTTTGGTTTTGAAAAAGTTGGCCAAAATTCCTCAAAAAAGCCTAGATTATAGAATGCGAAAATTGAAAAATAAAAAAATGTAAGTCTAAACTGAAGAATATAATAATTGAAAAATCGAAAATTCCATAAATCGAAAATCGGACAGTAGAAAGATTGAAATTCGAACAACTAAAATCAAAAAATCGAAAACTGAAGATTGGAAAAACTGAAAATCGAAAACTAAAAAAATTTAAAATTCAAATATTGAAAAGGCGAAAAGTAAAAAAATTGAAGTCTCAAAACTGAAAAGTGAAAAATTGAGGAATCGGAAATTGAAAAAGTCAAAAATCGAGATATCGAAAAATCAAAAAGTAAAACAATTGAACATTCAAGTATCGAAAAGTAAAAAAAATGAGAACTCGAAAATTAAAAAAGTCAAAAATCGAAAATTTGAAGAATTGAAAAAATTAAAAATCGAGAAATCGAAAAGGCAACAAATTAAAATTCGATATTGAGAAATCGAAAAATGGAAAAATGAAAACTAGAAAACTGAAGAATGCGAAAATTGAAAATCAAAAAGTAAAATAATTGGAAAATCGAAAAACTGAAATTTCGAAAAATCGAAAAGTAAAAAAATTTACAAGTCCAAAAATTAGAAAAATCAAAAATCGAAACATGGAAATTTCGAGCAACGAAAATCGAAATGTGGAGAAATCAAAAAATCGACAAGCAAAAAATTAAAAATCGGAAAACTGAAGAAAGGATAAATTGAAAATCGAAAAGTAAAAAAAATGAAAATTTTAATATCGATTAATCAATAAAAAAACAATTTGAAAAGAGTAAAAACTGAAGAATGGAAGAATTGAAAAATCGAAAAATTTTTAAAACTTGGAAGAATTCCAAAAATGAAAAATTAAGAAATCTAAAACTAAAAAAATCAAAAATGAAAAATGGAGAAGGCAACAAACTGAAAATTCGAATTTGAGAAATCGAAAAAAAAATTGAAAATTGGAATATCAAAAAACAGCAAATTTGAGAATTTGAAGATTGAAAATTTGAAAAATTAAAAATTCGAAAAATCAAATGTCGAAGAATTGAAAAATCCAAAAATGAAAAAGCGAAAAGTAAAAAAAGATGAAAATTCAAGTATCGAAATGTAGAAAAGTAAAAAAATTGAAGAATCTAAAAACTGGAAAATCAAAAATTGAGAAATCGAAAATTAAAAAAGTCAAAAATAAAATAAGAATTGAAAACATTAAAAATCGAAAAATGGAAAAATGAAAAGTAAAAAACTGAAGAACGCGAAAATTGAAAATCGAAAAGTAAAAAAATTTAAAAGTTAAAAATTCGAAAAATTAAAAATCGAAACATCGAAATTTCGAGTAACGAAAATCGGAAAGTCGAGAAATTAAAAAATCGACAAGCGAAAAATAAAAAATCGGAAAACTGAAGAAAGGATAAATTGAAAATCGAAAAGTAAAAAAAATGAAAATTTGAATATCGATTAATCAAAAAATGAAAAAAAATTAAAAAGAGTAAAAACTGAAGAATGGAAGAATTGAAAAATCGAAAATTTTAAAAAATTGAAGAATTCAAAAAATACTAAAAATTAAAATATTTAAAAGGAAACAAATTAAAAATTCGAATACTGAAAAATGCAAAAACTGAAAAATCGAGGAATTGAAGTTGAAATTATTGAAAATTAGTACATATATCGAGAACTCGAAAATTACAAATTTCGGAAAACGAGAACTTGCAAAATTGAAAATTTGAAAACTGAAAAGTAAAAAAAATTCTAAAAACTGGACAATATAAAAATTGAAAAATTGATTTGATAAATAAAAAATGGAAAAATCACAAAGTAGAAAGATTGAAAATCGAAAAGTCGAAAAGTAAAAATATTGAAGTCTAAAAACCGAAGAATGGAAAACTTGAGAATTCTAAAATTAAAAAAGTCAAAAATCGAAAAGGAAACCAATAATTGAAAATTTGAATACTGAGAAATCGAAAAATGGCAAAATCGAGAAATTCAAATTAAAATATTGAGAAATTGAAAAATGAAAAAAAGAAAAGTAAAAAATTGAAAAGTCTAAAAACGAAAAAATGAAAAATCGGGAAATCGAAAAGGCAAACTGAAAATTCGATATTGTGAAATCGAAAAATGGAAAAATCGAGTAATTCAAATTAAAAAAATTGAAAATAAGAAAATTGCAAAACAGAAAATTCCAGAATTCGGAAACTGAAAAATTGAAAATAAAAAATTTGAATATCAAAAAATCAAAAGTCGAAGAATTAAAAAATGGAAAAATGAAAACCGAAAAGTAAAAACATTGAAAAATCGAAAAACTGAAGTATGGGAAAATTGAAAATCCAACAGTAAAATACCTGGAAAATCGAAAAACTGAAGAAAATTAAAAACCGAAAGTTCGAGAAACCGAAAAGTAAAAAAATTGAAAAGTCTAAAAACTGAAGAACGTAAAAATAGAAAAATCGAAAAACTGAACAATGGAGAAATTCAAAATCGAAAGGTAAAAAACTTGAAAATTTGAATATCGATTAATCGAAAAGTAAAAAAATTTAAAAAGACCAAAAACTGAAGAATGGAAAAATTGGAAAATGGAAAATTAAAAAAAAAATGAATTCAAAAAATGAAAAATCGAAAAGTTGAAAAATGGTAAAAATGCAAAATCGAGGAATTGAAATTAAAATTATTCAAAATTAGTATACCGGGAAATCGAAAATCACAAATTTTGGAAATGAAAAACTTTAAAAATCGAAAATTCGAAAAGCGAAAAGTAAAAAACAATACTAAAAACTGAACAATATCAAAATTGCAAATCAATATTGATCAATAGTCGAAAAATCAGAAAGTGGAAAGATTGAAATATTCGAACATTGAAAATGAAAAACTCGAGAAATAAATAAATATAAAAACAAAAAAAATTAAAAATTCAAATGTCGAAAATTAAAAAAGTCAAAAATCGAGAAATCGAAGAGGAAAATTCGAATGAGAAATCGAAAAATGGAAAAATCGAGAAATTCAAATTAGAATGTTGGAAATTAAAATATGGAAAAATAGAAAATTCTAGATTTCGAAAATTGAAAATTTGAAAAATCAAAACTTCGAGATATCGAAAAATCATCAAAAGCCGAAGAATTAAAAAATCGAAAAATGGAAAAAAAATTGAAAATTCGAATATCGAAAAGTCGCAAAGTAAAAAAATTGAAGTCCAAAAACTGAATAAATGAAAAATTGAGAAATCGAAAAATTTATAAATTGAAAAATCAAAAATTCGAGATATCTAAAAATCAAAAGTCGAAGAACTGAAAAATGGAAAAATGAAAAATAAAAAACTGAAGAATGCGAAAATTGAAAATCGAAAAGTAAAATAATTGGAAAATCGAAAAACTGAAGGTTCGAGAAATCGAAAAGTTAAAAATTTAAGTCTAAAAACTGACGAATGTAAAAATCGAAAATTGGAAAAATAAAAAATCGAAACATGGAAATTTCGAGCAACGAAAATCGAAAAGTCGACAAATCAAAACATCGACAATCAAAAATGAAAAATCGGAAAACTAAAGAAAGGAGAAATTGAAAATCGAAAAGTAAAAAAAAATGAAAATTTGATTATTATCGATTAACCAAAAAGTAAAAAAATTTTAAAAAGAGCAAAAATTGAAAAATCGAAAAGGAAACAAATTAAAAATTCGAATAATGAAAAATGCAAAAACTGAAAAAGCGAGGAATTGAAGTAAAATTATTGAAAATTAGTACATACACCGAGAACTCAAAAATTACAAATTTCGGAAAACGAAAACTTGAAAAATCGAAAATTCGAAAACCGAAAAGTAGAAAAAATATTCTAAAAATTGGACAAAATATAAATTGAAAAATCGAAAATTCGATAAATCACAAAATAGAAAAACAAAAAAATTGAAAAATCGAAAAACTGAAGAATGGAAAAATCGAAAAGTAGAAAAATTGAAGTCTAAAAACCGAAGAATGGAAAACTTGAGAAATCTAAAATTAAAAAAGTCAAGAATTTGAAAACTCGGAGAATTGAAAAATGAAAAATAGAGAAATCGAAAGGGAAACCGTTATTTGAAAATTCGAATATTGAGAAATCGAAAAATCAAAAAATTTAAATTAAAATATTGAAAATTTGAATATCCAAAAGTAGTAAATTTCAGATTTCGAAATCTAAAAATTTGAAAAATAAAAATCAAAAATTCGGGATATCGAAAAATCAAAAGTCGAATAATTGAAAAATCGAAAAATGAAAAAACGAAAAGTAAAAAATTGAAAATTCTATATTGAGAAATTGAAAAATGGAAAAATTGAGAAATTCAAATTAAAAAAAAATAAAAATTGAAAATTAAAAAATCGAAAATCAGAAAATTACAGATTTCGGAAACTGAAAATTTGAAAATAAAAAATCCGAGATATCGAAAAATCAAAAGTTTAATAATTGAAATATCGAAAAATGAAAAAGCGAAAAGTAAAAAAATTGAAAAACTGAAGGAGTTAAGAACTGAAAGTTCGGGAAACCAAAATGTAAAAAAATTGAAAAGTCTAAAAACTGAAGAATGGAAAAATTGAAAAATGAAAAATTTAAAAAAATTGAACAATTCAAAAAATGAAAAATCGAGAAACCTAAAAGGAAACAAATTAAAAATTCGAATACTGAAAAATCGTAAAGTTGAAAAATGGAAAAACTGCAAAATCGAGGAATTGAAATTAAAATTATTCAAAATTAGTATACCGAGAAATCGAAAATCACAAATTTTGGAAATGAAAAACTTTAAAAATCGAAAATTCGAAAAGCGAAAAGTAAAAAAAAAATAATACTAAAAACTGAACAATAACAAAATTGCAAAATCGAAAATTCGATAAATCAAAAATCGAAAAATCAGAAAATAGAAAAATTGAAATTTGAACAATGAAAATGAAAAACTCGAGAAATAAACAATCGAAAAACAAAAAAATTAAAAATTCAAATGTTGAAAGTCGATAATTAAAAAAGTCAAAAATCGAATATCTAAAAACTCGAAGAGCTGAAAAAATGAAAAATCGAAAAATCGAGAAATTCAAGTTAAAAAAAAATAAAATTAGAATATCGTAAAAAGGAAAATTCCAAATTTCGAAAATTGAAAATTTGAAAAATCAAAAATTCGAGATATCGAAAAATCAAAAGTCGAAGAATTAAAAATGAAAAAGCGAAAAGTAAAAACAATTCAAAAAACTAAAACCTGAAGAATGGGAAAACTGAAAACCGGAAAGTAAATAATTGAAAAATAGAAAAACTGAACAATGTAAAAATTAGAAATTCGGAAATTTGAAAAATCAAAAATCGGGAAGACTCAGGAAATCAAAAAATCGACAAGCAAAAAAAATTGAAATTTTGAATATCGATTAATCAAAAAGTAAAAAAAAAACTAAAAAGACTAAAAACTGAAGAATGGAAAAACTAAAAATTAAAAAAGTGAAAAATGGAAAACTTTAAAAAATCGAAGAATTGGAAAAATGAAAAATTGAGAAATCTAAAAGGAGACAAATTAAAAATTCGAATAATGAAAAATCGAAACCTTGAAAAGTGGAAAAACTCAAAAATCGAGCAACTGAAATTTAAGGTAATTGAAAATACCGAAAAATCGATTGTTTTACAAATTTAGGAAATCGAAAACTTGAAAAATCGAAAATCAAAAAATTGAAGGGTGAAAAACCAAGAATTCGAAGAATCAACTACAAGAAAATGATTTTAGTCTAATTTCCAATATGATCGAAAAAATTCGAAATTGTCATAGGAGAAAAATTTTGGTTTTGACAAAGTTCGCCAAAAATCCTCAAAAAATTCTGGAATATAGATTTTGACAGGGTGATGTCAAAAATGTAGCATTTTTACGGTCCCATAACAAGATCTTAGAAATATCCAGTTTGAAATAAAATAAAAAAAATCAAAAAAATTATCATACTACAAGGTGCGATATTGGAAAAATAGTAGGAGACATCGAAGCCGAAAATGAGTTCTGGAGATCGAAATACACAAGAAAATGTCTTTAGTTAAGGATTCAAAGGTGATCGAAAAATTTCAAAATTTCCACAAAGGAAAAATTTTGCTTTTGGAAAAGTTGGACAAAAATCGTCAAAAAATTTTAGGACATAAATTTCGACAAGCTGATACCAAAAATATAGCATTTATGGTCCAAGACAAAATTTTAAAAATATTTGGTTTGAAATTCAATTAAAAAAAAGTGGCAAAAACAGTAAATTTCAATGGGCTATTCTGAAAAAATGGTAGGAGTGAAACACCATGTGTACTAAATATTCAAAAACGTACTTTGCCCACTAGCAAAATAAAAAAAAAAAAACAACTACTAACATCACATAACTCTAGGAAAAAATTACCATATGGTCCCATAACCTAATCCATCAACCCACCCCCACTTACATTATGTTTGGACTCATTCTTTTTCTCTTTCACGCTCGTCTTCCTATCCCCAAACATCCTCCTCGCCAACTCCCTCTCACTAGCCTTCTGCTTCTGCATCAACTTATTAATCGACGCCAGTTCTTTTTGTACATCAGGATTACTAGGCGAAACTTCGTCGGCCTTTTTAAGACACTTAACAGCGGCATTTAAGTCATTCTTCGCCTTGTGCACCTACAACACTTAATTACACCCCCACTCCTCCATAAACCAAAAACATACTTTGGCTTTCCTGAACAACGCCTTAACGTTATTAGGCTGACACCTCAACACAGTCTGCAGGGAATTCAGGGCCGCATCGTACAATTCCAGTTTAATTTGGGCCGCGGCCATGTTATTACACACACTAATCCGGTCCTCCAGCAAGTCTTGAAGCGCGGAATCTGACACCTCTTCCGATTTCTTCTCGGTGGGGGTAATACCACCCTCTACTTCATCCAGAAAGTCTAGGGCTCGTCGGTAGCATTGGATCGCGAGGGTGTTTTCACCCCTGCCGTACCACCAGTTCCCGCGCTCCCGCTTTTTGTTTCTACAAAAATTAATACATTTTACATGACAAGAAAATCAATTAATGTCAGATACTCAGATATAGAATACACAGTGTCTGAATTTGAATTTAAATTTAAATGCGTACCCTTGCAATTTCCGTTCTAAAATCGACAAACTCTCTGGGTCCTCCTCCGGCTCCGCCGCCACCAGCTCCACGTCGTACACCACCTTCGCATTCGGCGGGATCTTCGGCGACAGCCCCACGGTGCCGAAGGCCAGTCGGGGCTCGATTTTCAGCCTGCACTTCTCGCCCACGTTCATCAGCCCTACGGCTACGTCCAGCCCCTGCACCACGTCGCAGTCCCCCAGCTGGATCTCCACGTTGTCTTTGCGCTCCACGAGCTTGCCGTCTGCCAGGGTCAACTCATAGTTTACCACGCACTTCATGCGTCTGTCGGGTCTGGTGTTGGGGCTCCCCTGGGTGATTATCTTCTTCATGACGCTGCCGCTGCCCAGGAGGTCGGTCCATTCCGGTTCTTCTTCGGTTTTCTCGGAGGGAGGAGTCGCTGGTTCTTCGTTGGAGTCGCTTACGCCTGTCTTTTCGTCGTAGTCGGTTTCGAGTGAGGAGTTTGTGGGGTCTGTGGCTGCTCTGTCTATGGTCATTTTGGCGGGTTTTCGAGATATGTACGATTAATTTTAAACTGACGACTTAATTTTGTGTTTTTTTCTTTCGTGGAATCGGGATTTTGTACGAGTATGTTTTCTATGTTTCTAACCTACAAAGCGATGACATTTTAGAAATTGTGGTGGTAGGTTGATGTGTACTAGTTGTTAGTGTATTTTGAGTTGTCTATATTGTAGGTTGGCAGCGGTGATGCGAAGCATTCAATGTTTAAAAAAGGCCCTTTTGACATTTTTAAGCTTTTCCCGGGCACCTTCTAAAAATACTAAAGAGATTCTTTCGCTCTTTTTTGGTTCAGCTCATTGAAACCTATTGTCCAGCATTTTTTGCAAATTTTTTGACAACTTTGCCAACAGTTCCATTTTTCAACCCCTCTCCATGTGTATAAATATATTTTAAATTATATTTTTACAATAGTTCTTCTCGATTTATTAATTTACAAACACTTTCCGTGATTTTTTCGTCTCCAACCAGATTTTAATGACGCAATTTTTACAATACAACCAAAAATTTAAACTTCGGTGTAATGTTGGTTGCATAAGCACATTAATATCCTGCAAAAACAATTTAGAATATCATGGAAACAATTCTGGACGCTCTGGACTTAATTAATTGATGCGCAAAGTAATTAGACTGTGAATATCAAAATTTTGATGTATAGAATGTCCAATAAAGAGGAGTGTGAATGATAAGATTTACCATTTTAAACATGTCTTCACGTATATTAAGAATTCAGTTTTTCATTTCTCTAAATTATTATCGATTTGCAATTTTTCTTTTCGTTTTTCTATTTTTTTTATCTTTCAGTCAAAACTTCAGTTTTTCGCTTTTTCAACTTCCAGATTTTTAATTGTTCGTTTTTTCAATTTTAGAATTTTTAGTTTCTCGATTTTTCAATTTTTCGTTTCTTCAATTTTTGAATTGCAATTTTTCTAATTTCTATTTTAAATTTTCACTTTTTCAATTGAAAATTTTCCAATTGTAGAATGTTTCCATTTTTCAATTATTGGATTTTAAAACTTTCATTTAATGATAATAATTTATTCGATTTTTCAATTTTCCAATTTATAATTTTTCAGTTTCTCGATACATGCTTATTTAAATTTTCAACTTTTCGTTCTTTCATTTTATGATTTTGTTTTTTTTTTCACTTTTTCGAATTTGCAATTTCGTTTTTTAGTTTTTTCCACTTTTCGATTTTTCGATTTTTCAGACTTTCGATTTCTCAATTTTTCAATATTTCAGTTTTGGGATTTTTCAGTTTTCCGGTACTTCAGCTTTGGGATTTTTCAACATTTTAATTCTTTAATTTTTCGATTTTTCAACAGTTCCATTTTTCAATTTTTCCACTTTTTAAATTTCAAAGTTTTCAGTTTTTGATGTTTCGATTTCGCGATCGTGTTTCAATTTTTTTGAATTTTAAAATTTTGAATTTTTTCAATTTTTCGGACTTTCAATTTTTCAATTTTTTGATATCGGGATTTATCGAAATTTCGATGTTTCGATTTTCGATTGATCAATTTTTCGATTTATTGATTTTTTTTAATTTTTCAATTTTTCAATTTTTTACTATTCGATTTTTTTATTTTGGACACTTTCTATTTCTCAATTTTTCGATTTTTCTACTTCTCGATTTTTCGATTTCTCGATGTTCGAGTTTTTCAATTTTCCGATTTCTCGGTTTTTCGATTTTCAGTGTTCCGATTTTTCAGTATCTCCATTTCTCAGTTTTTCCTTTCAATTTTCCGAGTTTTCAAACCTTCGATTTTTCGATTTCTCGTTTTTTCAATTTTTCGACTTCGGCTTTTCGATTTTTGAATTTTTGACTTGTTTAGAATTGTACAATTTTTCGGTTTTTTGTTGTTTCGAATTCTCGATTTCTCAATTTCTCGATTTCTCCAATTCTCGATTGTTCGATTTTTCAGTTCTTCCATATTTATATTTTTCAATGTTCCGAATTTTTAAATTTTTGACTTTTTAGTTTATTGATTTTTCAATTTTTCGATTTTTTTATTCGATGTCTTGTTATATCGGTTTTTCGATTTTCAAAATGTTGCGATTTTTATATTTCCAGATTTTTCAACTTTCGGTTTCTCAATTTTCCGATACTTCTGTTTTGGAAATTTTCCGTGTTTTTATTCTTCGATTTCTCGATTGTCAAATTTTCGATCTCTCAATGTTTTCATTTTTCTGTCTTACATTTTTTTCCATTTTGATATTTTTAAATTTTCGATTTTTGGATTTCTCAATTTCTCGATTTCTCGATTTTTCGATTTTTCAGTTTTTCTGTTCTTCAGTTCATCAAATTTTTAATTTTTCAGGATTTTGATGTTTCAATTTTTCGATGTTTCTACTTCGATTTCTCAATTTTTCAGTTTTGGGATCCCAATTTTTGTTTCAATTTTTGATGTTTCTAAATTTTCGATTTTTGGATTTCCCAATTTCTCGATTAAACGACTTTTTGCTTTTTCGATTTTTCATTGATTTTTCGATTTTTTCAGGTTTTTGATGTTTCAATTTTTCGATTTTTTAACTTTACGAATGGAAAAATTGCAAAATTCTAAAAATGAAAAAAGAAAAAAAAGGAAAAAGTATAAAAACCTACACATTACAATTTTGAGAAATTAAAGAAACGAAAAATTGAAACATCGAAAGATTCAAAATCGAGAAAACATTTTAAAATCCAAAAATTGTCAAACTGAAAAATTGAAAAATCGAAGAATTTGGGAAATCAAAGATTGAAATTTTGAAAAACTGAATAAACGAAAAATTATAAACACGAAAGAAACATAGAAAACATTAAATATTTTGACATAAAATCGGGAAACTGAAAAATAAAAATTAAGAAACTTGAAAAACTGAAGGAACGAAAAATTGAAAAATTGAAAAATTGCCAATCGAGAAATTGAAGAAACGAAAAACTGAAAAATTTGGAAGTCGAGAAATTGAAACACTGGAAAAATTAAAGTTGAAAAAACGAAAATTTATGGAGCCGAAACATTCAAAAATGGAAAAATTGAAAAATTGAAAAAAATGAAAAATTGAATAATGGAAAAATTCAAAATTGAGATATCTTAAAAATTGCCAAATTGAAGCAAAATATAAAGACCGCCCACCCGCCCCGTCTCAATTGTGACGACTTTTTTTCATTCGTTGTCAAGACGGGAGGCGGAGCGTAATTGCAAAACCCGTATTCCCCTACAAAATTGTACCATTTTAAACATGTTTTGAGTTTCTAAGCATAAAAAATCATCACAATTGAGATTGGGTGGGTGGGCGGGGTTAATATTTTGCCCTTTTTCTTTATATTCATAGTATTCTTTGAACAACACGATACGCAAAACCGTGTTTTTAAGTTCTTGTAAAGAAATAAGTTTTTGCAGTTAAAGTCCGCCCCATTGGTTCTCGACGAATAAACAAAATCGTCACAATTGAGACAGGGTGGGTGGGCGGGGTTTATATTTTGTCCTTTTTTTCTTAAGCTACGTAGTCATCTTTTCACAACAAAAATTCTAAGGTAGAGATCTCGACGAACTAAATCGAAAAATATGGCGCATTAATTATTCCTCAACCAAAATTTTTCGACGAATAAAAAAGTCATCACAATGGAGATAGGGTGGGTGGGCGGGTAGCTTTAATTTTTTCGAAAATTCCTACCATTTTTCCGGAATCGTCAAAATGAGATATATCAGAATTTAGAATATTTTAAAAATTTTATTTTAAAAACGGATATGTGCCAGTTTTAAGCAAACATGATTTTTTTCATTATTTTTGGACACCCAGTTTTTCCAAAGTTGTACTAAAATCCTTAACAAAAATTTTACGATTACTCTGAAATTTTTGACATTCGCATGTAAACTTTTATTGGTTTCGACCTCCAAAAGTCGTTTTCAGTTTGATTATCTGGAAAAATTCCTTCAATTTTATCAGAATCTTCAAAACGAAAAATAAGGAAATTAAAAAAAATACTTTGAAACCGATTATTTGGAAAAATTTGGTCCGAACATATTAATGCAATATATTTTTCGATTCAGCTTGTCAAAATTTCTATCCTCGAATATTTTGTGTATTTTTTAGTAACTTCCCGAAGAGTCCAATTTTTCAGATACGAAAGTTTTGATTTTTTCCTGGGCAGCTTCGAAAGTTACCTAATGAGATTCTTTTAATTTGTTCATTTCAACCTCCAGAACTGGCTTTCATTTTTTCGAAAATTCGTACCATTTTTCCAAAATCGCCAAAATGATGTAACTCAGATTTTAGAATATTTAAAAAAATTTATTTTGAAAACGGTTATTTCGAAAATCAATCTTCCAATCGACTCGGAATAATTTTCCCCTGATAGATGCGCCATTTTTAAACAAACATGATTTTTTCATTATTTTTGGACACCCAGTTTCTCCAAAGTTGGACTAAAGTCCTAAAAAAAAGTTACGATTACTCTGAAATTTCCCACATTCGCCTGTAAACTTTTGTTGGTTTCGACCTCCAAAACTCGTTTTCAGTTTGATTATCTGGAAAAATTCCTTCAATTTTATCAGAATCTTCAAAACGAAAAATAAGGAAATTAAAAAAAATACTTTGAAACCGATTATTTGGAAAAGTTTGGTCAGAGAATATTAATGCGCTATATTTTTCGATTCAGCTTGTCAAAATTTCTATCCTAGAATATTTTGTGGATTTTTTAGTAACTTCCCCAATTGTCCAATTTTTCAGATATGAAAATTTTGATTTTTTCCTGGGCAGCTTCGAAAGTTACCTAATGAGATTTTTTTAATTTGTTCATTTCAACCTCCAGAACTGGCTTTCATTTTTTCGAAAATTCCTACCATTTTTCCAAAATCGCCAAAATCAAATAACTCAGATTTTAGAATATTTTAAAAATTTTATTTTGAAAACGGATATTTCGAAAACCAGTTTTCCAATCGACTCGGAATAATTTTCCCCTGATAGATGCGCCATTCTTAAACAAACATGATTTTTTCATTATTTTTGGACACCCAGTTTTTCCAAAGTTGCACCAAAGTCCTAAAAAAAGTTACGATTACTCTGAAATTTGCGACATTCGCCTGTAAACTTTTGTTGGTTTCGACCTCGAAAAGTCGTTTTCAGTTTGATTATCTGGAAAAATTCCTTCAATTTTATCAGAATCTTCAAAACGAAAAATAAGGAAATTAAAAAAAATACTTTGAAACCGATTATTTGAAAAAGTTTGGTCAGAGAATATTAATGTGCTATATTTTTCGATTCAGCTTGTCAAAATTTCTATCCTGGAATATTTTGTGGATTTTTTAGTAACTTTCCCAAGAACCCAGTTTTTCAGATATGAAAATTTTGATTTTTTCCTGGGCAACTTCGAAAGTTACCTAATGAGATTCTTTTAATTTGTTCATTTCAACCTCCAGAACTGGCTTTCATTTTTTCAAAAATTCCTACCATTTTTCCAAAATCGCCAAAATGAAAAAATTCAGATTTTAGAATATTTTAAAAATTTTATTTTGAAAACGGTTATTTCGAAAACCAATCTTCCAATCGACTCGGAATAATTTTCTCCTGATAGATGTGCCATTCTTAAACAAACATGATTTTTTTCATTATTTTTGGACACCCAGTTTTTCCAAAGTTGGACCAAAGTCCTAAAAAAAAGTTACGATTACTCTGAAATTTTCGACATTCACCTGTAAACTTCTGTTGGTTTCGACTTCCAGAAGTCGTTTTCAGTTTGATTATCTGGAAAAATTCCTTCAATTTTATCAGAATCTTCAAAACGAAAAATAAGGAATTAAAAAAAAATACTTTGAAACCGATTATTTGGAAAAATTTGGTCCGGGACTATTAATCCGCTATATTTTTCGATTCAGCTTGTCAAAATTGCTATCCTAGAATTTTTATGGTTTTTTAAGCAACTTTCCCAAAAATTCATTTTTCAGGTATGAAATTTTTGACTTTTTTTGGACACCTTCGAAAATTACCTAAAAAGATTATTTTGTACATTTCGACCTCCACAACCTGTCTTCACTTTTTTCGAAAATTCCTACAATTTTTCCAAAATCAAATTGAAATATCTCAAATTTTATAATATTTAAAAAAATTTATTTTGAAAACCGATATTTCGCAAACCAATTTTCCAATCGACTCGACATAATTTTCCCCTGATAGATATGCCATTCTTAAGCAAACATGATTTTTTTCATTGTTATTTGAAAACCCAGTTTGTCAAAATTTCTATCCTTAAAATTTTTTTAGATTTTTAAGCAACTTTCCCAAAAAGAACAATTTTTCAGATATGAAATTTTTAATTTTTTTATTCCTGAGCACCTTCGAAAACTACCTAAAAAGATTATTTTGCTCATTTTGACCTTCACAACTGAGTTTAGTTTTTTAGAAAATTTCTACCATTTTCCAGAATCGTCAAAATGAAATATCTCAGATTTTAGAATGTTTATGGATATTTCGAAAACCAGTCTTCCACTCGACTCGGAATAATTTTCCCCTGATAGATGTGTCATTCGTACGCAAACAAGATTTTTTTCATTATTTTTGGACACCCTGTTTTCCCGAAGTTGTGCTAAACAAGTCCAAAACAAAAATTTTAGGATTACTCTGAAATTTTCGACACTCGCCTGTAAGCTTTTGTTGGTTTCGACCTTCAGAAGTTTTCAGTTTGATTTCCTGGAAAATTCTTATCATTTTATCAAAATCTTCAAACAAAAATATGGAAATTTAAAAAAGAATACTTTGAAACCGAATATTTGGAAAATTTTGGTCTGGGAATATTAATAGACTTTTTTGGATTCAGCTCGCCAAAGTCTCCACCCTAGAATTTTTTGTGGATTTTTAAGCAACTTCCACATGAGTCCATTGTTTGAGATATGAAATTCTTGACTTTTTCCTGGGTACCTTCGAAAATTACTTAAAAAGATTGTTTTGTTCATTTTGACTTCTTTAATTTTTCCAAAAATTCCTATAATTTTTCCAAAATCGCCAAATTGAAATATCTCAAATTTTAGAATATTTTAAAAAATTTATTTTGAAAACTGATATTTCGAAAACTAGTCTTTCAATCGACTCGGAATAATTTTCCCCTAATAGATGTGCCATTCTTAAGAAAACATGATTTTTTTTCATTGTTTTTTGAAAACCCATTTTTTCCCAAATTGTACCAAAGTCCTTAACAAAAATGTTACAATTACTCTGAAATTTTCGACACTCGCCTGCAAACTTGTTGGTTTGGACCTACAAAAGTCGTTTTCAGTTTGATTTCCTGGAAAATTCCCACCATTTTAACAGGATCTCCAAAACGAAAAATATAGCAATTTAGAAAAATTTACTTTGAAACTGAATATTTGAAAAATTTTGGCCTGTAATGTTAAAGCACTATATGGTTCAATTCAGCTTGTCAAAATTTCTATTCGAAAATTTTTTGTGGATTTTTAGGCAATTTTCCGAAAACTCCAATTTTTCAGATATTAAATTTTTTACTTTGGTCACCTTCGAAAATTACCTAAAGAGATTTTTTTGTACACTTCGACCTCCACAACTGACTTCCCTTTTTTCGAAAATTCCTACAATTTTTGCAAAATTAAATTGAAATATCTCAAATTTTATAATATTTAAAAAAATTTATTTTGAAAACCGATATTTCGAAAACCAATTTTCCAATTGACTCGAAATAATTTTCCCCTGATAGATATGCCATTCTTAAGCAAACATGATTTTTTTCATTGTTATTTGAAAACCCAGTTTGTCAAAATTTCTATCCTTGAATTTTTTGTAGATTTTTAAGCAACTTCCCCAAAAGAACAATTTTTCAGATATGAAATTTTTAATTTTTTTATTCCTGGGCACCTTCGAAAACTACCTAAAAAGATTCTTTTGTTCATTTTGACCTTCACAACTGAGTTTAGTTTTTTAGAAAATTTCTACCATTTTCCAGAATCGTCAAAATGAAATATCTCAGATTTTAGAATGTTTGTGGATATTTCGAAAAGTCTTCCACTCGACTCGGAATAATTTTCCCCTGATAGATGTGTCATTCGTACGCAAACAAGATTTTTTTCATTATTTTTGAACACCCTGTTTTCCCGAAGTTGTGCTAAACAAGTCCATAACAAAAATTTTAGGATTACTCTGAAATTTTCGACACTCGCCTGTAAGCTTTTGTTGGTTTCGACCTTCAGAAGTTCTCAGTTTGATTTCCTGGAAAATTCTTATCATTTTATCAAAATCTTCAAACAAAAATATGGAAATTTAAAAAAGAATACTTTGAAACCGAATATTTGGAAAATTTTGGTCTGGGAATATTAATAGACTTTTTTGGATTCAGCTCGCCAAAGTCTCCACCCTAGAATTTTTTGTGGATTTTTAAGCAACTTCCACATGAGTCCATTGTTTGAGATATGAAATTCTTGACTTTTTCCTGGGTACCTTCGAAAATTACTTAAAAAGATTGTTTTGTTCATTTTGACTTCTTTAATTTTTCCAAAAATTCCTATAATTTTTCCAAAATCGCCAAATTGAAATATCTCAAATTTTAGAATATTTTAAAAAATTTATTTTGAAAACTGATATTTCGAAAACTAGTCTTTCAATCGACTCGGAATAATTTTCCCCTAATAGATGTGCCATTCTTAAGAAAACATGATTTTTTTTCATTGTTTTTTGAAAACCCATTTTTTCCCAAATTGTACCAAAGTCCTTAACAAAAATGTTACAATTACTCTGAAATTTTCGACACTCGCCTGCAAACTTGTTGGTTTGGACCTACAAAAGTCGTTTTCAGTTTGATTTCCTGGAAAATTCCCACCATTTTAACAGGATCTCCAAAACGAAAAATATAGCAATTTAGAAAAATTTACTTTGAAACTGAATATTTGAAAAATTTTGGCCTGTAATGTTAAAGCACTATATGGTTCAATTCAGCTTGTCAAAATTTCTATTCGAAAATTTTTTGTGGATTTTTAGGCAATTTTCCGAAAACTCCAATTTTTCAGATATTAAATTTTTTACTTTGGTCACCTTCGAAAATTACCTAAAGAGATTTTTTTGTACACTTCGACCTCCACAACTGACTTCCCTTTTTTCGAAAATTCCTACAATTTTTGCAAAATTAAATTGAAATATCTCAAATTTTATAATATTTAAAAAAATTTATTTTGAAAACCGATATTTCGAATACCAATTTTCCAATCGACTCGAAATAATTTTCCCCTGATAGATATGTCATTCTTAAGCAAACATGATTTTTTTCATTGTTATTTGAAAACCCAGTTTGTCAAAATTTCTATCCTTGAATTTTTTGTAGATTTTTAAGCAACTTCCCCAAAAGAACAATTTTTCAGATATGAAATTTTTAATTTTTTTATTCCTGAGCACCTTCGAAAACTACCTAAAAAGATTCTTTTGCTCATTTTGACCTTGACAACTGAGTTTAGTTTTTTAGAAAATTTCTACCATTTTCCAGAATCGTCAAAATGAAATATCTCAGATTTTAGAATGTTTATGGATATTTCGAAAACCAGTCTTCCACTCGACTCGGAATAATTTTCCCCTGATAGATGTGTCATTCGTACGCAAACAAGATTTTTTTCATTATTTTTGGACACCCTGTTTTCTCCAAGTTGTGCTAAACACGTCCATAACAAAAATTTTAGGATTACTCTGAAATTTTCGATACTCGCCTGTAAGCTTTTGTTGGTTTCGACCTCCAGAAGTTTTCAGTTTGATTTCCTGGAAAATTCTTATCATTTTATCAAAATCTTCAAACAAAAATATGGAAATTTAAAGAGTTTACTTTGAAACCGAATTGAAGTTTTTGACTTTTTCCTGGACACCTTCAAAAAATACATAAAAATATTCTGTTGTTCATTTCGACCTCCAGAACTGGCTTTAATTTTTTCGAAAATTCCTACCATTTTTCCAAAATCGTCAAAATGAATTGTCAATTTTTTCGAAAATTTCGAAAACCAGTCTTCGTATCGACTTCGGATAATCTTACTTACTCCGAAATGATCACCACATGTTTCCTTTGTGTAACAACGATAACATTATCTTATCTATAAATGTTATCAGCGTCGCTATCAGCACGTCGGGGATGTCCCGCAAATTCCCGATGATCCCCGACCGCTCGAACCATCATTCTCGAAAATTCCGAACCCGCTAATAAAAACATCTCTGATTACAAAGAAAAAAACACATTCAGCGCTTTAACGTAGAGCTGATATGTGATCCACTCATTACTCAGTTATCATACAAACCCGCAAAACAACAATGGCGGCTGCTTTGTCTTGTGCCTTTAGCTGTAACCACTACCAAAGAAAGTGTAAATTAGTGGTAAGTACCACCAGTACCACCAAAACCATGTTCTTCACCACCTATTTTATTTTTTATAGACTCCATGTTGCAACAAAATTTACACTTGTCGTTTCTGTCACGACGAACAAGAATCTCACACTCTGAATCGAAAAGCGGTTAAAGAAGTGGTTTGCATGGTCTGTGGAGAGAGACAAGACGTACGCTACAACTGCTACAGCTGCGAGGTTAAATTCGGAAAGGTATGTAAGTACCAAATAAAAAAAAAATTGTAACCAGTCAGTTGCAGTATTATTGTCTGGAGTGTAATCTGTTTGACGACGAAGATAAGGGCCAGTTTCACTGCGAAGGGTGTGGAATATGCCGTGTCGGTGGCGGCGATAACTTCTTCCATTGTGACGTTTGCAACATGTGTCTCTCGATTGGAATGCTAGGCAACCACAAGGTAAATTCCAGTTTTTGTGATGAGTACTTGAAAATGTGATTTGTTGTAGTGTGTTGAGAACAGATCACACACTGATTGTCCAATCTGTATGGAAGATATGCATTCTTCTAGAAGCAATTTACATATACCAAAGTGTGGACACCTGTTGCACGAGACTTGTTTCCAGAATATGGACAAGGCAGGACACAAGTTGTGCCCCATTTGCAAGGATTCGTTCAAAGTGTGATGTCTCTGAGTCCGTGTAGGATTTTAATTTGTATGACGTTTGTGGCAGTTTTGCAATAAATAAATGCATAGTTGTGATTGTGGTCATTTTTAAAACAGTGATGTGTAATGTTGGTTGCATAACAAAGTTCTGACTATATTCTTTAGAATTTGCAAACTTTATTCACAAAATATTAGTTTTATGCAGATAATGCGAACGTTATAAATATTATATAGTGGAATTGTCGCTAAACCCATGTCTTTATCCATAATTATGACTTTTTATTGCGCGAGGAAAGTTCTTTGAGCGCATTATCCAAATACGATGGATCATCTTTTTGTGGACATTTCTTAGTATCTTCTGACGGTACACATTCAGTCTTTTTGTAACCTTGGTAATCCAATATGGTTCCAGATGGGCAAGGAGTTAAAAGTGGCTGATGTGTTTTACATATGTAGTATGAAGTACAATCTTACCCATTTGGTATTTTTACGGGTTCTGTATCGCCATAATACCGACAGACTTTTACTGCAAAGTTTAGTAAAACATTAGAAAAATGAAAACAAAAAACAAAATACAACATGTCACAAGTTAAATAAATGAAGATCCGAACTTTTATGGCACAAGAAACTCAATAATTAATTAAATTAAATTAAAATTGCTACACTGGAAATGAGTGTGACGTTTGTTCAAGCGATTTTTATATTTGTTTTATATCATGACTACAACTAAATATTGATAGTATTTATACCTACCATATTTACGATCAACACCAGCCCCTCCATCTAACGATAAATAGATTAATAAAATCGCGAAGGCAAACCTCTGAGAAAATAATAATAATCAAAGTTGGTAAAGCTACCACGTTTTAAATAAAATAAACTTACAAGGAAGTGATGCTTCATGTTTGCAAACAGGTGCTTTTACAAAATGAAAATACAAAGTTGTTGGTGTATACAGTGCTTTTTATACATACTTTTATCACATTGGCCATGGAAACGATAAAAGTATAACAATTGGATATATCTAACACTAACTATATACCTACTAATGAATATGAAAAAAATAATTATACCTTTTTAATTTTTAATGAGACTGTTGATATGAACTGTATCAATTAAGTTATATTTACACATCCCTGCCGTAAATAAACTGCGTAGAAGGGTACATTAGCGTTATAATAGAAGGAGTTTGGGGCTCCCGGTTGGGGCTGTTCTCCTACCCATGACGGTGACTTTATCTATCGCAAGCACTGTCGACTAGGAACCGCGCACTCCGCTTCCACCATGTGTTTTTGTGTTATTTAACCTCAATTCCATTTATATGTTCAATTCTTATAAGTCTGATATTAGCGACAACTGAACAAGTGTAAAGTTTCAAAAGAGCAATAAACAACATTTAAATTCGCCATACAATCTTGTGAAATTTTAAACAGCAAATAATTCTTATGTGAGATTAAAATTGGACATCAGATAATTTATATCATGGAAACGTTCATCGACAAAATATTTACAAAACAAAAACTAGCAAAGATTTATAAAAAACAATTTGTTTTGAGGATTTATATCGTGAACTGCTTATCAAAAAAAAAAACACATGATAAATAAACACAAAATGCGTCAGGTGTTGCGAGGAAAACTCCTCAGTGATATAATTATCCAACGTTGCGAAAAAGGAGAGAAATCTTCTTCTCGTAACGTTTGTTAAACAAAACACTTAATCCTGACTATGTGAATTTCACGAAATCTCCTAGCAAGTGATTTATCTAAATCTGTTAAATTGCGTTAGCACCAGTTTACGATTAAAATCCTAATATAATCCGTGAATTTACAAAGAATGAATCAAATTTGCATGTGTTAGCGTGGGTCAAAATTCATTTTGTTGGGGAAACTGTGGCGGCGTCGTCGTTACGATTAATTGTCGTTAAACAAAGGCTTCCTCCCTTTTATTAACTACCAACCCAACTAATATATATAACTAGGAAAATTTAATTGTGGTCTGTAGTAAAGGCCAAATTGAAAAGTAGTTTTTAAGTAGTTTTTCGAATTTTCGTCACTTATTTATCGGGTTTTCGTTCTATACTCTCGATAAATAAACAACCCACAATGACGAAAGTGAAAGTACGAGAACTTTTTATACAAGAAACTCCACGCCTGAAAAATTCGAAACGCAACCAACAGTACAATTTCATAGCAGTCTTTCATATTTAGTACTGTGGTGACAGATCTGAATTAAAATTTCGCGCTGAAAAAAAAAACAACGGCGCCAAGTCGGATTTGAATAATTCGAATTTAAAAAAATCAAATTAAGAAAATCGTTAAACATAGGCAACCACGTGCAAGTTTAGTTCTTTTTTGGTAGTTGGTAGCTCACCTAGGGAATTTCGGAAGAATACCTAGTGAGCAGGTTGGTAGAAGTTGACTTGTTTGGTAGAGGGTAAAGTCACTGTTATTTTGGTTTGGTGGGTGAAAGCATGCGGTAAGGAAGCTAGATTAAGTTTAGTTGGTTAAAAAAAAAAAAAATCTGGGAAAATGGAGTGAGCGGTTCCTGATTTAATCAATAAAATAAACTGACACATTCATTAATTTTTTTGAACCACCTGTATAATCATATTTTGCACATTTCGGGTAGATTTAGGAATCGTTACTATGGAATTTTGCAATTTAACACCTTTAAATGTCACAAGTTTTTATAAGATTAATAAGGACATAATACTAGCCCCGCCCACCCGCCCCCTATTTTCTCAGAGGATATGTCATTTGCCAAAATAAGACTTATGTTAGCAAGTACTAGCCCCGCCCACCCACCCTCTTTCAATCGACTAGGAATAATTTTCACCTGATAGATGCGCCATTCTTAAACAAACATGATTTTTTCATTATTTTTGGACAACCAGTTTTTCCAAAGTTGGATTCAAGTCCTAAAAAAAAAGTTACGATTACCCTGAAATTTTCCACTTTCGCCTGTAAAGTTTTGTTGGTTTCGACCTTCAAAACTCGTTTTCAGTTTGATTATCTGGAAAAAATCCTTCAATTTTATCAGAATCTTCAAAACGAAAAATAAGGAAATTAAAAAAATACTTTGAAACCGATTATTTGGAAAAGTTTGGTCAGAGAATATTAATGTGCTATATTTTTCGATTCGGCTTGTCAAAATTTCTGTCCTAGATTATTTTCTGGATTTTTTAGTAACTTCCCCAAGAGTCCAATTTTTCAGATATGAAAATTTTGATTTTTTTCCTAGGCAGCTCCGAAAGTTACCTAATGAGATTCTTTTAATTTGTTCATTTCAACCTCCAGAACTGGCTTTAATTTTTTCCAAAATTCCTACCATTTCTCCAAAATCGCCAAAGTGATATAACTCAGATTTTAGAATATTTTAAAAATTGTATTTTGAAAACGGATATTTCGAAAACCAGTTTTCCAATCGACTCGGAATAATTTTCCCCTGATAGATGCGCCATTGTTAAACAAACATGATTTTTTTCATTATTTTTGGACACCCAGTTTTTCGAAAGTTGGACCAAAGTCCTAAAAAAAGTTACGATTACTTTGAAGTTTTCGACATTCGCCTGTAAACTTTTGTTGGTTTCGACTTCCAGAAGTCGTTTTCAGTTTGATTATCTGGAAAAATTCCTTCAATTTTATCAGAATCTTCAAAACGAAAAATAAGGAAATTAAAAAAAATACTTTGAAACCGATTATTTGGAAATGTTTGGTCAGAGAATATTAATGTGCTATATTTTTCGATTCAGCTTGTCAAAATTTCTATCCTCGAATATTTTGTGGATTTTTTAGTAACTTCCCCAAGAGCCCAATTTTTCAGATATGAAAATTTAGATTTTTTCCTGAGCAGCTTCGAAAGTTACCCAATGAGATTCTTTTAATTTGTTCATTTCAACCTCCAGAACTGGCTTTCATTTTTTAGAAAATTCCTACCATTTTTCCAAAATCGCCAAAATGATATTAACTCAGATTTTAGAATATTTTAAAAATTTTATTTTGAAAACGGATATTTCGAAAACCAATCTTCCAATCGACTCGGAATAATTTTCCCCTGATAGATGTGCCATTCTTAAACAAATATGATTTTTTCATTATTTTTGGACACCCAGTTTTTCCAAAGTTGGACCAAAGTCCTAAGATAAAAGTTACGATTATTCTGAAATTTTCGACATTCATCGACAAAATATTTACAAAACAAAAACTAGCGAAGATTCATAAAAAAACAATTTGTTGCGAAAGTGAAAGTACGAGATAAACCTTTTATGCAGGAAGCAGGATTATTTACGAGAAGTTCCACGCCTGAAAAATTCGAAACGCAACCAACAGTACAATTTCATAGCATAACATATTTAAAAAAAATAAAATTAAGAAAATCGTTAAACATAGGCAACCACGTGCAAGTTTAGTTCTTTTTTGGTAGTTGGTAGCTCACCTAGGAAATTTCGGAAGAATATCTAGTGAGCAGGTTGGTAGAAGTTGACTTGTTTGGTAGAGGGTAAAGTCACTGTTATTTTGGTTTGGTGGGTGAAAGCATGCGGTAAGGAAGCTAGATTAAGTTTAGTTGGTTAAAAAAAAAAAAAATCTGGGAAAATGGAGTGAGCGGTTCCTGATTTAATCAATAAAATAAACTGACACATTCATTAATTTTTTTGAACCACCTGTATAATCATATTTTGCACATTTCGGGTAGATTTAGGAATCGTTACTATGGAATTTTGCAATTTAACACCTTTAAATGTCACAAGTTTTTATAAGATTAATAGGGACATAATACTAGTCCCGCCCACCCGCCCCCTATTTTCCCAGAGGATATGTCATTTGCCAAAATAAGACTTATGTTAGCAAGTACTAGCCCCGCCCACCCACCCTTAATTTTTTCAGAGAGTAGTAATTGCTAGAACTATCCTAGAGGGTTATCCTGTGAAAAAAAAAGGGGCGGGTGGGCGGGGCTAACACTTGCTCTGATAAGACTGATTTTGGCAAACGCCATATCCTCTGAGAAAATAGAGGGCGGGTGGGCGGGGCTAGCACTTGCTAAGATAAGACTGATCTTGCCTCTATTAAACTTGTAAAAACTTGTTAAATTTAAGTAAAAGGTGTTAAATTCCATATTTCTATAGTAACGAGTTAAATTCCTAAATCTGATTGGATATTTATTTTTTAACAAGTCAGTCAATAATTTTTCTGACACACTCTGTATAAGCAAATTGAAAAAATATTAATTATGTATTAAAAATAAATTACAAGTATAGATTCATCATATTTTGCACATTTAAGATAAAGTATTCAGCAATATTTTGAGGTGACATCATCACTTTTTTAGGGGGGACGAGCAAATACATTTTGGTCAAAAATTTGCCATGCTTATGATAACTTTAAAACATCTCCAAGATTTCGAAGGATCCGGTTTTGCAGTTCCTGATTAAATTAACAGACGGAAACGGGAGACCTATTTCTTCGTACTCTAGGGGTACTTTTCTAATCTTGGGGTCCACCACTTGCATTTGAACGCATTCTGCCACAAAAAAGCACACAGCGTAGGTTCCATTTGGTTAGACGATCACAGCCAAGGCCAAATTTTGAATTTTTTAATTTTTCGCGGATGATTTAAATAAACTATTTGCTAGAAGATTTCATGGAATTCACTTAGTCAGGATAACACCTTTGTTGTTTAATTATGAATAAGTTTCTGAATGCTTATACTTAAGTGTTACATTATAACACTTCATAATTCTTCACACAAGATTGCTAATAGTTGATTTACGGCAGTTAAACTAACTAATTCATACCGCGAACTGGCGGGGGGTTAAAATAATTTCTTCCCTTAGGCGGTTATCATCGTTATCATGATTACATCACTGAGGCATGTCCTCACAACGCTAAAGATGGATTACATCATCGAGGCTTTTCCTCGCAACGATGACTGGATATTTTTGTATTTATTTATTATGTGTTTTGTTGGGGTAACCAGTTCGCGGTATTCTAAGCTCTCAAAGTAAATTGTTTTTTTAAGTAACCAATCACTTGGATCATGATATAATTTAACATAATGTAAACTCTTTGTTTGAATCGTTGATAAACTATGGCAAGCATTAATCTCATGTAAATTTTGTTAACTTTGCAATTTTTCACCTCTTACAATATTTCTCTATCTCACAATTTTAACCTCAATAATTTTCTTTGTTGTATGATTTTACTTGAACGTAAACGCTGCAGTTTTGATCTCACCTTTTTATTTTGTACATGTTTATTTCACACCAGATTTTTTATTTTATGAATCTTTGCTAGTTTTGTTTTGTAAATATTTTGTTGATGAATGTTTCCATCGTATAAATTATTTGTTGTTTAAAATTTCACAAGATCGTATGGCGACTTTAAATGTTGTTTATTGCCCTTTGAAACTTTGACGCTTGTTGAGTTTTTGTACTTGTTTGGTTTTCATATGTGTATGTCTGCCAATTCGCGGTTGTCTTTTCTTTCATATTTTTATGTGTTTCATTTGCGATGTATTGTGATATGATATTTTACAATAAATAAAAAATGTGTAATTATGATTGGGTTAGTTTTTGAAATAGTGATGTGTAATGTTGGTTGCTTAACAAAGTTCAGATACGTTTAATTTTGAAATTATTTTCACTCCAGAATAATGCTGTGGTGTATTCAGCGAGAGCCTAGTGCTCAAGGTACATATTTTACAATTTGGAATTATGGCTAAACACATGTCTTTATGCATAATTATGATTTTTTATTGCGTGAGGAAAGTTCTTTGAGCGCATTATCCAAAAACGATGGGTCATCTTTTTGTGGACATTTGTTAGGATCTTCTGATGGTATACATTTAGTCCGTTTGGAACCTTGATAATTCAATATGGTTTCAGATAGGCAAGGAGTTAAAATTGGCACATGTTTTTTGCATATGTAGAATGAAGTACAGTCTTGACCATTTGGTATTTTTACGGACTCTCCATCGCTGTAATGCTGACAGACTTTTACTGCAAAGTTTAGTAAAACATTAGAAAAATGAAAACAAAAAGCAAAACACAACATATCACAAGTGTGGCGTCACAATAACACGTTGGTAAGCGGAGAAAGATAAGCGGTCTCGTGGTCTAGTGGTCAGGATACCTGCCTGGCAAGCGGGTGACGTGTGGTTCGATTCCCACCGAAGCAGCAACATTTTTCTTCACTTACCTTCACCTATACTTTATCGAGAAAAAATATAGGTTTGATCGTTGGTGTATTTGTTTTATATCATGACTACAACTAAATATTTACGGTATTTATACCTACCATATTTACGATCAACACCAACTCCTCCTTCTAACGATAAATACAGTAATAAAAGCGCGAAGGCAAATATCTGAGAAAATAGTAACAATAAAAGTTAGTAAAACTACCACGTTTTAAATAAAATAAACTTACAAGAAAATTATGCTTCATGTGTGCGGGCAGGTGCTTTTATAAAATGAAAATACAAAGTTATTGGTGTGTGCAATACCTTTTATAAATACTTTTATCACATTGGCCTTGGAAACGATAACAGAATAACAGATAGATATGTCTAATACTAACTATACAGCCTGACTGCGAAATACATGCAAAAAAAAAGAGGGTAATAGGTCACAATATGATTATGTCACTGACAAAAATTCACGGTCCTAAGTGGTAGCAGTGTCTAGAAAAAATTATTTGAAATTAAATGTAAATTGTTATACGCGCCGCTGATAATGTTTCGTGACCTACATAATTACTGCAATGAATGGCAGGCGGCTCGGTTTAAGAACCAAAAAAGTAACTTTATCAGGCACTTTTTTAATCGCAACGTGAAAAACACGAAAAGGGCCAGTGATTATCGAGCGGTCGTTGAAATCGGTGTATGCTAGAGTTTTCCAATGCAGAGCGTATGGTAATTTGTGTGCGTGAACATTTGCATCAGTGGTACAGCATCTCCGAGATCATGGTACCTTCAACCTCAAACTCACGATCGTGGTCGTGATGGGACAGAAAGAAGAAATTGGATTTTCGCAGCTTGTAGTGCATCCTACATTAAAAGTACACGGTCACAACCATACCATATTGACAAAGTGCACGGTTTGGAGTCCACTGATTGTCCACGTTGTGTAACTCACTTTTTGTCCGATGGAACTCCACATAGTCGTCAACAAGTACGATTTCAAGAGACGGTTTTCGAGAAACGTGTATTGGTTGGATGAAACAATTCGTTTGTGGAAATCAACAGTGTTCAGAAATTATCGAAGAGCTTCAACAACTCCGGTGTTTTTTACCTATCAACAAAACTCTTGCGACGCTCTGACGCCTGTATTGCTAGTCAAGGACAACATTTTCAACATTTCTTGTAAAAAGGTAGTAGCATTCTAAGTTGCTCTTATTTCTGTTCCAATAAACAATGTAAAATCGTTGTGACAAGGACCAACCATCCGTCAGAATCAAAATTACCAAAAAACTTTCACACTGACCTGTAACGATGAATGAGTAAATTGAATGAACGAATGATAAGCAGCAAAAAGTCGGTTTTACTTTTAATTGAAACTGAAAGTGTTTAGGTCGTTTTTATTCGAACGTTTTTCCAACTCTGTTTACAAGGTGGCTCAGTGCCTTCGTATCGAGGGTGGTTCATGGGGGTTTTGCCCCATTCGATTTTTAATTTGTTTTTTCTATATTTCGGCTCTACTAGGGTGGGTGATGCCGTGGTTAAAATATTTGCACATATTTCGCAGTCACCCTGTATTTCGGCTCTACTAGGGTGGGGGATGCCGTGGTTAAAATATTTGCACTTATTTCGCAGTCACCCTGTATATTTCAATCTTTCAATTTTTCGAATTTTTAAATTTTCGATTTTCCAGTTTTTCTTTTTTAAAATTTTTTCGATTTTTCAATTTTTTTATTTCTCGATTATATAAATTTTTCGATTTCGATCCTCTGATTTCTCGATTTCTCGATGTTTCAGTTTTTGAATTTTTCGATTTTTTACTTTTGGGCTTTTCAATTTCTCATTGTTTCGATTTTTTAGTTATCCGATTTTTCAATTTTTTGATTTTTTAAATTTTGGAGTTTCGACTCTCGATTTGTCGATTTTTCAGTTTTTCGATTTTTAAATTTGAAACTTTCGAATTATTATTTTTTGCTTTTTTTATGTTTGGATTTCTAGATTCTTCAGTTTTGCGATATTTAAATTGTTCAGTGTTTTAAATGTTCAATTTTTCAAATTTTGACGTTGCTAAATTTTCAGTTTTCCGATAACTTTTTAATTCCTCAATTTTGGGATATTTCTCTCAGTTTTGAAACTTTTCAATATTTCGATTTTTCAACTTCTGGATTTTTCGATTTTTTATTTTTGGATTTTCAGTTTTTCGTTTTTTAAACTTTAGATTTTTCAATTTTTCGATTGTTTTGTATTTCAATTTCTCAAATTTCAACTGTTCCATATTTTAATTTTTCAGTTTTTAAATTTCTAGATTTTTCGATTTCTCGAGTTTCCAGTTCTATTTTTCAATTTTCCGAATTTTTAAATTTTCGATTTTTCAGTTTTTCTTTTTTAAAATTTTTTCGATTTTTCAATTTTTTGATTTCTCGATTTATCAATTTTTCGATTTTGATCCTCTGATCTTTCGATTTCTCGATGTCTCAGTTTTTCGATTTTTAAATTCTAAATTTTCAAATTTTTATTTTTTGCTTTTTTTATGCTTGTATTTCTAGGTTCTTCAATTTTGTGATATTTTAATTGTTCAATGTTTTAAATTTTTCCATTTTTCAAATTTTGACGTTGCTAAATTTTCAGTTCTCCAGATTTTTCGACTTGGGTTTATTGGTTTTTCAATTTCTGAATTTTCCAACTTTTTAATTCCTCAACTTTTGGATATTTCTTTCAGTTTTGAAATTTTTCAATATTTCGGTTCTTCGACTTCGATTTTTCGACTTCTGGATTTTTCGATTTTTTATTTTTGGATTTTCAGTTTTTCATTTTTAAACTTTAGAATTTTCAATTTTTCGATTGTTTTATACTTCAATTTCCCAATTTTTCTACTTTTCCATATTTTAATTTTTCACTTTTTAAATTTCTACATTTTTCGATTTCTCGAGTTTCCAGTTCTATTTTTCAATTTTCCGAATTTTTAAATTTACGATTTTTCAGTTGTTCACTCTCTCGATTTATCAATTTTTCCATTTTCAACTTTTCGGTTTCTCAAATTTTGGACTCCTCGATTTTTCGATCTTTTGATTTTTCGATTTCTCTATGTCTCAGTTTTTGAACTTTACGATGTATCGATTTTTCGATTTTTCACTTTTCGGTTTCTCGACTTTCCGATGTTTCGATTTTTAAATTGTCCGATTTTCCAATTTTCCAATTTTTTAAATTTTCGAGTTTCGATTTCTCGATTTTTTCCAGGTTTTTCTTTTTAAAAATTTACGATATTTCTATTTTTGGATTTCCCGGTTTTTCGATTTTTTACTTTTGGGCTTTTCAATTTCTCGATTTTCCAATTTTTCATTGTTTCGATTTTTTAGTTATCTGATTTTTCAATTTTTCGATTTTTTCGATTTTCAAATTTTAATTTTTCAAACTTTTATTTTTTGTTTTTTTATGTTTGGATTTCTAGATTCTTCAATTTTGCGATGTTTTAATTGCTCAATGTTTTAAATTTTTCATTTTTCAAATTTTGACGTTGCTAAATTTTCAGTTTTCCGATTTCTCAATCAATCTATTTTTGATTTTCTCATTTCTCGACTTCTCAAAATTTCGAATTTTGATTTTTCGACTTCTGGATTTTTCGATTTTTTATTTTTGGATTATCAGTTTTTCGTTTTTTGAACTTTAGATTTTTCAATTTTTCGATTGTTTTATATTTCAATTTCTCAATTTTTCTACTTTTTCATATTTTAATTTTTCAGTTTTTAAATTTCTACATTTTTCGATTTTTCGAGTTTCCAGTTCTATTTTTCAATTTTTTCATTTTAAACTTTTCGGTTTCTCAATTTTTCGACTTCTCGAAGTCTCAGTTTTTGAATTTTACGATGTATCGATTTTCCAATTTTTTAAATTTTCGAGTTTCTATTTCTCGATTCGTTGATTTTTCAGTTTTTCGATTTTTAAACTTTACATTTTCGAATTTTAATTTTTTTGATTTTTTGATGTTTGGAATCCTCCATTTTTCGATTTTACGAAATTTTAATTTTGCAATGTTTCAAATGTTACATTTTTCAATTTTTCAGTTCTTCAATAGTATTTTATTTTCCCATTTCTCCACTTCCCAAAGTTTCCATCTTTCAGTTCTTTGGTTCTGCAATTTTTCGATTTTTCAATTTTTGGATATTTGAGTTTTGGGATTTTTTTGTATTTCGACTTTTCGAGTTGTGGATTTTTCGATTTCTCGGCTCTTTACTTTTTGGATTTTCAATTTTCGGTTTTTTGAACTTTGGATTTTTCAATTTTTTAACTCTTTTATGCTTCGATTTCTCAATTTTTCAACTTTTCGATATTTTAACTTTTCAATTTTTAAAATTTTAGGTTTTTCGATTTCTAGAGATTTCAGTTCTTTGTCTCAATTTTTCAATTTTCGGAATATTTAAATTTTCGAGTTTGCAATTTTTTTTTAATTTTTCGATTTTACAATTTTTTGATATTTTGATTTTGCAATTAACCGATTGTTTAGTTTCTCGATTTTTAAATTTTAGATTTTCTAATTTTTATTTTTTTGATTTTTTCATGTTTGGATTTCTCGATTTTACAATTTTCCTATATGTATTTGAATTTTTCAATGATTTAAATTTTCAATTTTCCAATTTTTTAAATTTTCGAGTTTCGATTTTTGGATTTCCCGGTTTTTCGATTTTTTACTTTTGGGCTTTGGAATTTCTCGATTTTTCAATTTTCCAATTTTTTTAATTTTCGAGTTTCGATTTCTCGATTCGTTCATTTTTCAGTTTTTCGATTTTTAAATTTTAGATTTTCAAATTTTTATTTTTTTGATTTTTTGATGTTTGGATTTCTCCATTTTTCAATTTTACCATATTTTAATTTTTCAATGTTTTAAATTTTAGATTTTTCAATTTTTTAGTTATTCAATTTTTTTCAATTTTTCAAATTTTGACATTTCTGAATTATCTGTTTTCGGATTTCTCAATTAATTTATTCTTTTATTTTCCCATTTCTCCACTTGCCGAAGTTTCCCTCTTTCAGTTTTTCTTTATTTCAATTTTTCGAATTTTTAAAATTTCGATTTTCCAGGTTTTTCTTTTTCAAAATTTTTCGATGTTTCGATTTTTGGATTTCCCGGTTTTTCGATTTTTTACTTTTGGGCTTTCCAATTTTTCGATTTTCCAATTTTTCAATGTTTCGATTTTTTAGTTATCCGATTTTTCAATTTTTCGATTTTTTAAATTTTGGAGTTTCGACTCTCGATTTGTCGATTTTTCAGTTTTTCGATTTTTAAATTTTAATTTTTCGAATTTTTATTTTTTGCTTTTTTATGTTTGGATTTCTAGATTCTTCAATTTTGCGATATTTTAATTGTTCAATGTTTTAAATTTTTAAATTTTTCAAATTTTGACGTTGCTAAATTTTCAGTTTTCCGGTTTCTCAATCAATCTATTTTGGATTTTCCCATTTCTCGACTTCTTAAAGTTTCGAATTTCGATTTTTCGACTTCTGGATTTTTCGATTTTTTATTTTTGGATTATCAGTTTTTCGTTTTTTGAACTTTAGATTTTTCAATTTTTCGATTGTTTTATATTTCAATTTCTCAATTTTTCTACTTTCCCATATTTTAATTTTTCAGTTTTTAGATTTCTAGATTTTTCGATTTCTCAAGTTTCCAGTTCTATTTTTCAGTTTTTCGAATTTTTAAATTTTCGATTTTTCCATTTTCAATTTTTCGGTTTCTCAATTTTTCAACTTCTCGACTTTTCGACTCCTCGATTTTTCGATTTCTCGATGTCTCAGTTTTTGAATTTTACGATGTATCGATTTTTCGATTTTTTGTTTTCGGCTTCTCGACTTTTCGATGTTTCGATTTTTGAATTATCCGATTTTTCAATTTTCCAATTTTTAAATTTTCGAGTTTCGATTTCTCGGTTCGTTGATTTTTCAGTTTTTCGATTTTTAAATTTTAGATTTTCGAATTTTTATTTTTTTGATTTTCGATGTTTGGATTTCTCCATTTTTCAATTTTACGATATTTTAATTTTTCAATGTTTTCAATTTTAGATTTTGCAATTTTTTTAGTTATTCAATACTTTTCAATTTTTCAAATTTTAACATTTCTTTTCATTTTTTCGACTTCTGGATTTTTCGATTTTTTATTTTTGAATTTTCAGTTTTTCGTTTTTAAACTTTGGATTTTTCAATTTTTCGGTTGTTTTATACTTCAATTTCTCAATTTTTCTACTTTTCCATATTTTAATTTTTCAGTTTTTAGATTTCTAGATTTTTCGATTTCTCGAGTTTCCAGTTCTATTTTTCAATTTTCCGAATTTTTAAATTTTCGATTTTTCAATTGTTCATTCTCTCGATTAAACTTAAATTAAAATAAATAACCACTAATAATAATGTTAGTGTACTCTTCTACGCAGTTTGTTTATGGCACGTGTCTGTAAATGTAAGTTTATCGATAGAGTTCATATCAAAAGTCTCATTAAAAGTTAAAAAGGTATAATTATTATTTTTTATATTCCTTACTATATGTAGAAGAACTGAAAACTCGAGATATCGAAAAACCTAGAATTTTAAAAACTGAAATATTAAAACACCGATTAATGAAAAATTGAAAATCCAAAAAATAAAAAATCGAGAATTCAAAAAAAATCCAGCAATCCAAAAACCGAAAAATCGAAAAATCGAAATATTGAAAAATCTCATAACTGAAAAAAATATCCAAAAAAACTGAGAAACTAAAAAATTGCAAAATTGAGAAATCGAAAAACTAAAAAAGCAAAGTCGAAAAATCGTAAGCATAAAAAATCGAAATGGAAAAAAAAGTTACTTCAAAAGTCGGAAAACTGGAAATTTAGAAACGTGAAAATTTGAAAAATTTTAAAATCGAAAAATCGAAATATCTAAAATCCGCAAATTTGAAGGACAAAAATGAAGAAGTCGTATCATTGAAATCGGGAAATTATTTGTTTGTTGTCTGTAGGGAAGGCCAAACTAATTGCGTTAAGACTAAATGATACTGAATACGACTAGTTTTTCGAATTTTCGTCGCTTATTGTGTTTTCGTTCTAAACCCCTGATACATAGACAACCCACAATGACGAAAGTGAAAGTACACGATGAACCGATATTTCGCCCGTATCGCCTTCAATCTATTTTTCAGTTCGGATTTATAATTGTTTTAGTTGCTTTCCACAAAATACGTGGTAACCTTTTGAATTCTAAGTTGCAGGACTCGTTACATGATTTTAATTTCCACCATAGGGACTTTCACTTTCCCCCAGTTTTGACACAGTGACAAGCCAAATGACATTTGCGCGTAATCCGTGTTGCCTACAATTTATTTATCTAGTTCAAGTTCAGTCCTCTCTCGCTTGTGTCGTACATCTAAAATTAGTGCCACAACAGATTTTCCCAATTTGCATAGTCACTCAAAACCCGGAACCGCATTGTCTCGAGTGATGGACTCCGCTGACACGCCGGGCGCAGAAGGGCCACCGGAAGAAGCTCTAAAACCCATTGGCTGCTCCCATTACAAGAGAAAATCCAAATTCGTGGTGAGAATTCTTCTTTAATCCGGACGAAACCGACTATTTAACTCAATTAGCGCTGTGTTAATTCTTGACTTATTTTTCTAGACACCATGCTGTAAGAAGGTGTACACTTGTCGGTTTTGTCACGACGAGAAGGAGGATCATACGGTGAACAGAAAAGAGGTGACGGAGTTGATTTGCACGCTGTGCGAAATGAGACAACCGGTGCAGGCCGAGTGCCAGAACTGCGGGATAAGGTTTGGAAAAGTACGGGTTACACATTGGGGTTCCTGGGTTTAATATTAGTTTGTTGAAGTATACGTGTTTGGAGTGCAATTTGTTCGACGACGAGGACAAGAACCAGTTTCATTGCTCAGGCTGCGGGATTTGTCGGATTGGGGGAGCCGATAAATTTTTTCATTGTGAGAAGTGTAACATGTGCCTTCCCGTTCAGCTAAAAAACGGACACAAGGTATAAGAGTGTTTGAGATGTGTAGTATAGTATAGTATAGTAGGGTCCACGTTAAGTGGTCTGAGCACGATACGCATGCGCACAATTTGACAGTTGAGGTTATGTCAACTTCGAATTTCTAGTGTGTGGAGAATGTCTCCCGGTCCAATTGTCCCGTCTGCCTCGAAGACATCCATACTTCTAGAATTCCATGTCATATTCCAATGTGCGGCCACTTGCTGCACCGAACTTGCTTCAATCAATTACTCAAAGCTGGCCACTACGCTTGTCCCATCTGTCAGACTTCTCTCATGGATATGAGTCAATTATGGACGTACCTGGACAACGAAATCGCGCACACTCCAATGCCCCCACAGTATAACACCTACATGGTGCAGATTCTCTGCAAGGACTGTCACAAGGAAAGCACGGTGAAGTTCCACGTTATTGGCTGCAAGTGTATTCACTGCGGGTCGTACAACACCTGTCGCATCAAAGGACCTTTCAAGCCGTCAGGTTGGTAGCTCTGCGGTTTTGGTAGTTGTTGTACGTTTGGTTGCAGGGAGGAGTAAGCCGAGCAGCTCCAATCAAGCGGCGTCGCCAGACGACGATCAGTCGAGCTCAAATAGTCAAGAGTCTTAACTATTGTTATTATTTTAGGTGAAATCGGCAGGATTCCGACGTATTATTGGCATTTTATATTTAACCATGTTACTCAAACTTAGCGAACAAGCGTATTCAGTATCTTAAAGTAGTAGGATGTATATAAGTTTGTACAGTGTACAAGTTTGTGTGATTTTATTTTTATATGATTATTTGCAACAATTGTTGATATTATTGACGTACTCAAGAGAAAATAGATCTCCTATATTAAGTTGTTATTGTTAATTGGGTTAGGTGGAAATTGTGATTCTGTTGTATGATTTGGAGTCAGGTGACGGAAGTTGAGGCTGAAAGCCGCTAAATTTTGGAAATTGTTTAGGTAATAAACGACAACGTTAACTATGGGTTTTATTTCTTTTTGTACTTTTTCCACACCGTACACTGTGTTGTGTCAAATTTGATTTTAGTTGGTACTAGAACTCCTCATTTTGACGTAATCAGTGTCAACATAACCTTTAACTTTTTGTCGCTGGTTTCTCGAAAAAAAATTTCTCTTGTACAATTATTGTCGGAACGGCGAAAAAATTGGATGAAGGAGTGTGGTCGTCTGCTGCACGTATTTAATTTTTGACACTGACAGGTGACTTGTCAACTGAATGGTATGCAGTGGTACCACCAGTTACTTTCATAGCCAACTCGAATTCATTGTTTTTTTCCCGATGCGAATAAAATATCAACTTATTTTTTGTAGCAAGAATATTCTGAATGAATTTACATGATAAGAAAAATTAAATGAGAAGGAAATGAAAACGAAATATGGCAAATTGAGAGAAGAGATTCTTTCAAACTACTTCAAAAACAAGAAAATGGATCACAGGATTCTTTGAAACTAAAAAACAAAACAAGGGGTCCCCGAAGTTTTTTTAAACTACTTCAAAAATAAAACAAGGAGTTTCCGAGATTCTATTTTATTTCAAAAACAAAACAAGGCATCCCCGAGATTCTTTCAAATTACTCCTAAAACAAAATCCAAAGGGTCCCTGAGATTCTTTTAAATTAGTTCAAAACTCACAAAATTACTCCAAAAACAAGATAAGTAATCTCCAAGATTATTTCAAACTATTTCAAAAACAAAGCATAACTAAAGGGTCAGATTGTTTCAAATTACTTCAAAAACAGGTCAATAAATCACTAAGATTCTTTCAAACTACTTCAAAAACAAAGCATAAAGGGTTTCCGAAATTCTTTCAAAAGCAAGATCACCAAGATTCTTTCAAACTTTTTTAAAAACAAAACACAAGGGGTCCCCGAGATTCTTTCAAACTACTCCAAAAATAAAACCCGAAAGATCTCCAAGATTATTTTAAGCTAATTCAGAAACAAAACACAAGGGGTCCCTAAGGTTCTTTCAAATTACTTCAGAAATAAGAAAATTGAGCGCTCAAATTAAGTATTTCAAAAAATAAGATAAGAAATCCCCGAGATTCCTTCAAACCAGGCTCTTCAAAAACAAAACAATGGATCTTCCAAATTCTTCCAAAATACTTGAAAAACAAAGCACAAAGTGGTTGCGAGATTCTTTCAAATTACTCCAAAAATAACATCCAAAGGTTCCCGAGATTCTTTTAAACAACTTCAAAACAAAACGCAAGGGTCCCCAAGATTCTTTCAAATTACTTCAAAAACAAGATAAATTTATTAAAAAAAAAAAAAAAACACGCAAGGGGTTTCCGAGATCCTATCAATTTACTTCAAACACAAAACAAGGAATTGACGAGATTCTTTCAAATTACCCCCCCCAAAAAAAAAAAACAAAAAGGTCTCACAGATTCTTTTAAGCTACTTCAAAAACAAAACCCAAGAGGTCCTCAAGGTTCTTTCAAATTACTTCAAAAACTAGAAAACAGAACCCTCAAGGTTCTTTCAAATTAAGTACTTCGAAAAATAAGATAAGATTCCCGCGATTCCTTCAAACTAGGTACTTTACAAACAAGACAATGGATCATCGAGTATCTTCCAAACTACTTCAAAAATACCACAAAAGTCATCCCCGAGATTCTTTCAAATTACTTCAAAAACAAGACAATCTATCACCAAGATTCTTTCAAATGGCTCCAAAAATAGAATCCAAAGGCTACAAAGATTCTTTTAAATTACTCCAAAAACCAGAAAATTGGGTCCTCAAGATTCCTTCAAATTACTTCGAAAGCAAGATAAGTAATCCCAAAGATTTTTTCAAACTACTTCAAAAACAAAACAAAGAATCACCGAAATTCTTTCAATTTACTTCAAAAACAACACACAAGGGGTTTCCGAGATCCTATCAATTTACTTCAAAAACAAAACAAGGAATCGTCGAGATTCTTTCAAATTACCCCCAAAAAATACCAAAAAGATCTCACAGATTCTTTTAAGCTACTTCAAAAACAAAACCCAAGGGGTCCCCAAAGTTCTTTCAAATTACTTCAAAAACTAGAAAACGGAACCCTCAAGGTTCTTTCTAATTAAGTACTTCAAAAAATAAGATAAGATTCCCGCGATTCCTTCAAACTAGGTACTTTACAAACAAGACAATGGATCATCGAGTATCTTCCAAACTACTTTAAAAACACAACAAGAGTGATCCCCGAGATTCTTTCAAATTACTTCAAAAACAAGACAATCTATCACCAAGATGGCTCCAAAAATAGAATCCAAAGGCTCCAAAGATTCTTTTAAATTACTCCAAAAACCAGAAAATTGGGTCCTCAAGATTCCTTCAAATTACTTCGAAAGCAAGATAAGTAATCCCAAAGATTTTTTCAAACTACTTCAAAAACAAAACAAAGGATCACCGAAATTCTCTCAATTTACTTCAAAAACAACACACAAGGGGTTTCCGAGATCCTATTAATTTACTTCGAAAACAAAACAAGGAATCGTCGAGATTCTTTCAAATTACCCAAAAAAAAAACAAAAAGGTCTCACAGATTCTTTTAAGCTACTTCAAAAACAAAACACAAGAGGTCCCCAAAGTCCCCAAGGTTCTTTCAAATTACTTCAAAAACGAGAAAATTAAACCCTCAAGGTTCTTCCAAATTAAGTACTTGAAAAAATAAGATAAGGGACCCTCAAGATTCCTTCCAACTAGGTACTTCAAAAACAAAAAAATGGATCATTAAGATGATTCCAAAGTGCTTCAAAAACAAAACACAAGGTGTCCCCAAGATTTTTTTAAATTACTACTACTTCAAAAACTAGAAAATTAGGTCCTCAAGATAAGTAATCCCCAAGATTCTTTCAAACAATTTGAAGAAAAACACAATGGATCACCGAAATTCTTTTAAACTACTTCAAAAACAAAACATTCTTTCAAATTAAGTACTTCAAAAAATAAAATAAGGAATCCGCGAGGTTCCTGCGAATTAGGTACTTCAAAAACAAATCAATGGATTATCGAGGTTCTTCTAAACTACTTCAAAAACAAAGCATAAAAGGCTTCCGAGGTTATTTCAAATTACTTCAAAAGGTAGACAAGATTTTTTCAAACGACTTCAAAAACAAAACACAAGGAATTCTAGAGAATCTTTCAAATTACTCCAAAATTAAAATCCAAAAGGTCCCCGAGATTCTTTAAACTACTTCAAAAACAAAACACACTGTGTCCCCAAGATTCTTTTAAATTACTACTACTTCAAAAACTAGAAAATTAGGTCCTCAAGATTCTTTTAAATTACTTCAAAAACAAGGCAAATAATCCCCAAGCTTCTTTCAAACGACTTGAAGAATAAGACAATGGATCACCGAAATTCTTTTAAACTACTTCAAAAACAAAACGTAGGTTTCTGAGATTCTTTCAAATTACTTCAAAAATAAGAACCTAGTTCACCGAGATTCTTTCAAACTACTTCAAAAATAAAGCATAAAGGGTTTCCGAGATTCTTTCAAATTACTTCAAAAACAAGAAAATTGAGCCCCCAAGGTTCTTTCAAATTAAGTCCTTCAAAAAATAAGGTAAGGAATCCTCAGGTTCCTTCAAACTAGGTACTTCAAAAACAAAACAATGGACCATCGAGATTCTTCCAAACTACTTCAAAACCAAAGCACAAAGAATTTCCGAATTATTTTCAAATTACTTCAAAAACAAGACAATAGATCACCAAGATTCTTTCAAACTACTTCAAACACAAAACACAAGGAATTCCCGAGATTCTTTCAAATTACTTTAAAACTAAAATCCAAAAAGTTTTCGAGATTCTTTTAAACTACTTCAAAAACCAGAAAATTGAGTCTTCAAAATTCTTTCAAATTACTTCATAAACAAGATAAATAATCCCCAAGATTCTTTCAGATGATTTAAAGAACAAGACAAAGGATCACTGAAATTCTTTTACTTCAAAAACAAAGCATATAGGGTTTCTGAGATTCTTTCAAATTACTTCAAAAACAAGAAAATTGGGCCCTGAAGGTTCTTTCAAATTAAGTACTTCAAAAGATAAGATAAGGAATTCCCGGGGTTCCTTCAAACTAGGTACTTCAAAAACAAAACAATGGATCATCGAGATTATTCCAAACTATTTCAAAAACAAAGCACAAAGGGTTTCCGAGAAATTTTCAATTTACTTCAAACACAAGACAATGGATTACTAAGATTCTCTCAAACTATTTCAAACACAAAACACAAGGAATTGCCGAGATTCTTTCAAATTACTTTAAAACTAAAATCCAAAAGTTTTCCGAGATTCTTTTAAACTTCTTCAAAAACAAAACACAAGGGGTCCACAAGATTATTTTAAATTACTTCAAAAACCAGAAAATTGGGTCTTCAAAATTCTTTCAAATTACTTCAAAAACAAGATAAATAATCCCCAAGATTCTTTCAAATGATTTAAAAAACAAGACAATGGACCACTGAAATTCTTTTACTTCAAAAACAAAGCATAACGGGTTTCTGAGATTCTTTCAAATTACTTCAAAAACAAGAAAATTTGAGCCCTCAAGTTTCTTTCAAATTAAGTACTTCAAAAGATAAGATAAGGAATCCCCGGGGTTCCTTCAAACTAGGTACTTCAAAAACAAAACAATGGATCATCGAGATTCTTCCAAACTTCAAAAACAAAACACAAGGGATCCCCAAGATTCTTTTATATTACTTGAAAAATCAGAAAATTTTGTCCTCAAGATTGTTTTAAGTTACTTCAAAAACAAGATAAGTAATCCCCAAGATTCTTTCAAACGACTTGAAGAAGAAGACAATAAATCATCGAAATTCTTCTAAACTACTTTAAAAACAAAACATAAGTAAGGGGTTTCTGAGATTCTTTCAAATTACTTTAAAAATAAGACACTAGTTCAAAAAGATTTTTTCAAACTATTTCAAAAACAAAGCATAAAGGGTTTCTGAGATTCTTCCAAAATAACTT